CTCGTATTGTTGTCTACGAAGCAGTAGTTAGACACAACGTCCAATTGTTGCAAAATAGTTTCAAAGATGTCGGGTTTAAAATTAACCAACAACGGCTCTTTTAATTAGGAACATAAATATCTGCTTTAATATTAATTTGAATTGGATCGCAGCGAGTAACGAGGCAAAGATAATTAAGTAGGTTTAATAATACATTTCACAGTGAAAGGGAAGGAAATTTCTTTCATCTGATATTTATTATCTGTAATTTACACTCGACGGCACGTCATCAAGTTCTATCAATTGCGAATTCGCTCATAGTCTGCGGTAAATATTAATAGTCTCACGGTGTGCTCTGTGTGTAAAACGCGAATTTTGGTTTTCTTGCGAAATAGTAGAGCGTTAGCAGTGTTCAATTTAAGATTATGACAACCCTGCAGAGCTCTATCGGTCCGCAACCTTCGGCATTTGCAGCTGCATGAGGCCAGCAACCTAGGAAATGTTATTTGAACTGGCACCAACGTTGACGCCGCAATACTTAGAATAAATTCATTGTTCTAGACTAACCCTGGCGTAATTTTAATTCTACCACACAATTGCATTTTAAGCTGATTTCTAGAAACGGTTAGCTCGTGAAATTAACGATTGTATTTGCGGCAAAATCAATTAGTTTAAAAGCAATTTACTCCTAAATACAAGGCATTTTGATTTTCTTTCGGCAAAACAATGCACGATATTGCGGTTGTTAAGAAGACTAACAAAAAATACAGAATTTCGCTAATTACGGATAATTAACTCTTTTAATCTTATTTTTTTCAACACAAACCGGAAAAACGCGAACCGATCAGCCAAAGGATAGTTAAAGAAGAGCCCGTCACTGCTTCGTTCATGGTCCAACCATTAATCGCAAAATTTTTAATGAAGGCGCCATCTTCAGTCAATCAGTCTGACCACGCGGCCGTTGCTACGATGATTGGATTAGCTTATTCGTGGCGTGAACTATTTGTTCTTTTGGCCTTACATCACCACCCAAATAGCACCGAGATTCGAGACAAGTGCCACAGACAGAACACCGAAAAGATAAAAGAAGCAGCAAAATATATGTTTAAGGTTAATATGTCAAAGAAAATGTTATGAATAGACTACAAGGATGATGTGATGACGCACTGAGATGTGCGAAGCAATTAATTTTTCATCCATTCATTGTATAGCTAAGCAACGAAGATCAAAGAACCTGAAATGGCAAAATAGGTAGTGCTTACATTTTAGGTAACAGACCCGTATAAAAACGTAGGTTAACAGGTTTCTACAAGCCACGCAGATGTTACCAAGCGCATCTAACTCGCTAGAACATAGAGCATGAGAGGAGACGATGATGTTCGGTGTTGTGATTTCTATTTACGAATATTCTTTTCGATCCATTCAACCGACATTCAACATTTGCGCGCGCGATTACAGAATCCTAAATGTCCTGATTCTCAAAAATCTATAAGATAGAAGTTTATGAAGATTTAGTTATTACCGCATGATCCTCCTTTTTGACGACATGACAGTCTCCGAAAGATTTGTGAAAATAATAATCCATATTTCTACATTTTATAGAATCGCGGACTGCAGTATTTCCGTAATATATTTCTGAAAAGCTATCTTTACTTGGAGAAACTCGATAAGATTATGCAAAGAAGCGGTCTCTCGGCGATTCGAACTTGTGATTCCATGAAATCCGAAACGGAAGACGGTAAATGGATCAATAAAAGGGTCTATTCCACTTTGATCACCTGGCTTTGATGACCCAGGTGATCAAAGTCCACTTTCAGCGACAATTTAGTGTCCTTTGATCACCCACGGATACGATGCCCTGGGTGAGCAAAGTGGACCCCAGTTAAATTATTATTTTAGTGTCCTTTGATCACCTACATACAAATCACACCTCCACTTATACTTAATGTACGGACAAACATTGTTCAGGTAAGTAACGCTTTAAAATATTTCATGCTGTAAAAAAATTGACTATATTAAGAAAATGTTTGTACTTACAATTGGACATGACGTGTCTAATCAGAGGAGGTGTGATTTGTATGTAGGTGATCAAAGGACACTAAAATAATAATTTAATTGGAGTCCACTTTGATCACCCAGGGCATCATATCCGTGGGTGATCAAAGGACACTAAATTTTCGCTGGAAGTGGACTTTGATCACCTGGGTCATCAAAGCCAGGTGATCAAAGTGGAATAGACCAATAAAAGTATATCGAGAGCCCCACGCGAGACACATCGATACGAGACGAGCCTTGACCCGGTTGTTGGTAATGGTTGATGGTTCTCGAGTCTATGGGTACAGTAAGTTCTCATGTCCGAATCGAACTCCGAATTTAAATTTTAAAACTGATAGAAATTCCAGTTTTTAATCCAGTACAAGGCAGGTTTTTTTTACTGCTGTCGTACTAGCCAGAAAAACAGAAATTTTTTAAGACCAAAATTTTCCTTGAATAGCTTATGGGTTCCATAAGGAAGGAAATTTGATAATACCATTCCTGAAGGTTCGGGAATGGGGAAGGTTTTTAGGGAATCCGATACTCGGGTACGGGGACGAAGTTACCGGCGGCGGATCACGTCTGTCCGTTGAAAAAGTCATTAGGTAATTTTCGTATTATTTACGTCATTACGTTTCGTAATGGAAGCGCTTTTCGTAGGTAATATTTATGTACGACAAAAATGCTCTAAGTTAAGCCATAATGTCATTGATTTTTTTTGCGGGTTTAAATCGCCGCTTACTTTGAACAGTGCTAAGCCTACTGCATAGAGTTATATTGCTTCAACCGACTTCCAGCGATTTGGTTAACAATGACATGGCTGAATGGTGAATGTCGCCTTTTATAGCTTACGCCTCTAAGGCTAGCATACTTTTATGTCACTTTTGTATTTGGCATTTTGTCTGACATTTAGTGGACCTAGGTTTATATTTTAAACTGAAAGATAGGTTAAGGCTCTGTAGGTTAGAATGGTTAGAATGAACTTAAAGCACAGGAGATTAAGTTACATTATAGATATACAATGGATGTATTAGTACAAAATATTTTCAATGCTTCAGCATTATCTATCCCTTTTAAGGCTCAGCCTCGAGTTTAGCGGGCAGCGGGGCGGGAGCGGCGGCGGCGCGGGAGCGGCGGCGGCGCGGGAGCGGCGGCGGCGCGGGAGCGGCAGGATCTTATGCGTAAAATCAAATAGACCGGTTCTCGAAAACAGCGGCGCGGCAGCGGCGCCGGAGCGGGCAACGAGCGGGCAGCGGCGAGGGAGCGGGCAACGAGCGGGCAGCGCACTCCTTCTTTTGCCCACAATAAATCGAGCGTTAGGAATAAATTTGAATCGAAATAAAATTTTCGCCGTTGTTCAGACATTTCGTTTGCGAATAAAAACAAATAATATCTCGACAACACAACCCCGAACACAACACTTCGCCGCTAAAGCGCCGCGCGAGCTGCCCGCTTGTTTCGAGAACGGGTCTGCGTTGCCCGCCCCGCTCCCGCGCCGCCGCCGCTCCCGCCCCGCTGCCCGCTAAACTCGAGGCTGAGGCCTTACTATTAGGATGAGTGGGAGGAATGAGGTGGGAGGGAGATTGTGGAATAAAGGAAATTCTTTTGGAGGCTTTACTGGTGCTACTTAAAATTGAAAATATTAATATTATAAGACTGATGCTACATTAAAAAAATCTTTTAAACTTTTTTGATGTGATATTCATTAATTCTTAATAAAAAGAAAAATGAAACGGCCACCCTATTCCTTGTTCAGTGCTTGTTACTATAGTATCTAATTAGATTGTAGTGTAATGTTATTTATAAATAAAAATACTGTGAACTGAACAGATAGATTTCATTAATAACATGCATAATAACTTCATATTAGGTGCAGTTTCATATCGGCACTGGCCCATATTTGACAATTGCCATTATCATATCACTATGATCCTAACGCAAACATTTAACCTGAATATGACAAATTTCCTACTAGTTTGCCTCCTATCCTATATACAAAATTTAAATAATTACTACAGTGTACATGTACAATTAATAATGTAAAATAACCGCAAACATAATTCAGCGCAATCTTCAGAACATTAGGCATCACTCGAGTTACGGTAATGTGCCCCACATAGCCAAAATGTAGATCTGAAATAAGTGTTCACTGAGTTTGCTGCTCTCAATTTTCAATCTAGTGCACGGCAATTAAAAAGTAAGATAAACCTGATAAAATTGACACTTGATGGAATAAGTGTACCTACATATTTCATGGATTGATAACTAACATTAATAACAAAATAACAACTAATATCAGTAGTTTAATTCTTTGGTGAATTATTCAAAATAAAACATTTTGATGTTTCTTCCAAAAAGTTGCAGATACACAAAACTTTCATGTAAAGAAATGTAGTTCTTCCTTCGTATCTAATAAAAGCCAGAAAGTATTAGTAGCCTCTTAAATTTCAGAATTTATCTAAAATGATAGCATAGCAATAGCAAGCATTTTAAAATAATTTGAAGCTAAATGACAACCACACAAACTTACCATCTTTGACATTCTTGGAAGACTGTGACGATGACACTCCGGGTATAGTTTTATTATCACTAGCACAGTACATTGTAGGATTTTTCACAAGCTGGTACTATAAAGTCACTCTCATCTAGCGAAACTATACATATTAGCATCAAATCGACTTGATAATCCAATACAATTGCACGTAACGCGATACACGGCAGCCATTCCACATTCCGGTTGTAAATATAAGGCCATAGACAACTTTTTATTCTTTCACTTTACGTGTTTTGTTTGACAGTTAGTGCGATAAAAGTCGGGGAAATGAGGAAAAATAAACCAATAGCTTCCACTCAATATAATTAAAGATTTTTATTAGGCTGGATTTATACGTTCTGTGAGTTTTTTCATAAAATAATGAAACCATAGAGCCTGTGCTGAGTGTGCTGTAAAAATTTCAGAACGTGATCAAGAAACGTCAAATTTGACAGTTATCAAATTGACGGGCGAGCTTTCCTCACGTCATTTCAAAAGATTTGCCAAAGAATTTTTATCAATAAATTGTAATTTTTGTTTCAGCATATAATCCGTTTCACAATGATGCAACATCAGTACTGGGTAACAAAAAAGACTGTTCTGAAAAAATTGGGCACCAAAGAAGACGAGTGTATTGTTTCCTCGGACGCTGAGCTTGACGCAAAGTTAGAGTTGTTTCGATCAATATCAGATAGCTGCTTACATTTACAACGAGTGTTAGATCAGTATCAGGAGAGGTTGTGTATTTTGGCTCAAGAGGAGAATTCTTTGGGAAAGTTTTTGCGGGATTCGGGTAAGGGGAACAATGCGGCAGGGAAGCATATGGTGTCGGCGGGGAAGGCGATATCGTATTCGGGTCAGCAGCGTTTATCAGTGCGGGGGCCTTTGTTGCGGCTTTACCATGAAGTGGAAACGTTTAGAGGTCGCGCTGTGAGCGATATGCGGGCGACGGTATCTGCTATGGAGAAGGCTCGCATTGAATATCGCGCAGCGTTGAGTTGGATGAAGTCTACGAGCGCTCAACTGGATCCGGATACCGGCCGCGGGTTGGACAACTTCAGGAAAGCGCAGCGACAAGTGCGCGAAAGCAAGAAACTGTTTGATAAGCTGACACTTGATGTTTTGCAGAAGGTATGTTTATTCATTTATCTGTACTAGAAAGAAATGTAAACAATAGGTACCTACTTGATTCTATTACAGCTCAACTCCATAGTAGTTAGGCACTTCACAGACACAGTTTCTGAACAATGGTGTTGATGTATCCAGCAATAATTAAGCCAGATTTTTTCATTCTATCAATGATTGTTAATGTGAATTTCAGATAGACCTGCTAGCTGCAGCAAGATGCAACATGTTCTCCCATGTACTGTCCAACTACCAGTCGTCCTTCTTGACGTTTGCCACAAAAGTGGCGCAAACACTGATAGCCACGGCTGATACAATGAATGCCACTCCTCAGTATGAGTTCTGCATTTTGAAAGAACTGTCACAGAACTTAGGGGAAGGTGAACCAAAGCCAGAAGAGGTGATTCCACAGGATAAGGATCAGATGCTATTTTTCCAGGTAAATAAATTAATTGACTTTCTATTAAAAAAATATCAATAATTTTTAGTGCTTGCTTTGTGAATGGTTTCTAGACTGAAAAGTATAAACAGTTAAGTTCCCAGCCATCACACATTTTTGTCTTTAGTTTATTGGATTTATTTAGAATGTTATTTAAAGTTATCATTAACCCAATGTGCTATTACTGAGACAACATCTGTTGTTATCAGTGAAATTAACTTTAGATACCAAATAAAACATTTCAGGAAGAGTACAAAGATGAAAATGCCGACAAAACCAAACCAAACAATGTAGTTAGTAAAGAAGCAGAAAACCAGCCTCTGTCCACTGCATCCAAAGAAGAACCTTCCACTTCGGTCAACTTGATTGACACCAGCTGTCTGGAGCCTGAGACTTCAGGAGAAAGTTCAGGCATTCTGTCAGACTTGGCTGGGTTACGACTGGATGCTGATATGCCAGCTAATTTTGGATCTTTTATGCCTTCACAGTTATTACAGGTAAAACATTTTTATATATTTACCCCTTAATAATAAAAAGTTACACCTAGGATGAACTCTGGATTAAAATGACATTATACATACTGATAACAATTTAAGCCAGAGTTCAACTAGGTTGTAACTTTTATTAATAAGGGGGATAGTTTCCCACTAGCATACAAAAGTTATTTTTTCTATATGAATACTTTACCATTTACATTCAGCTGAGTGTTCCTAGGGACTGAGTGATATTGAAGATAAAATGATCAGAATAATTTCTTAAGTGTTAAAGGCAGTTCATATCAAGAAATAGATCTGGGAACAGTTTATTAAAAATATTTTGAAGTCTGCAATTAGATACTTAATTTCAATTTAAATGTTTCAGGACTTGGCTGTTCCAAACTTTATAGATGGTCCCATGACTCCAGTAAGCACCAACAACAACAAGACACCCCAGTCACCACAGCAAGCCCCTACCAAGTCTCCGAAGGTTCCGAAGAAGGATGACAAAGCCGCCTGGTTCAAACTCTTCGCTGAACTGGATCCGTTAGCAAACCCGGATAGTTTGCCTGGTTCCAACACCAATCAGAGCCATGCTGCTTAAATATACTTATTATTATCATCAATAAGGTTCACTTTCACAAGGTATTTATTGACCTAATTTTGTTTCAATTTATCAGTATTTTCTAAAAAGTGAAATGAATCATTAATCAGTCAGGCTAATCGAAATTAGGGCTGGTGGACCTTCTGGTCTGTGTTAAAAATCCAAAAGCTCAAGAGTGCTGTATGATTGTCATTGTGGTATTTAAATACTTCGTAAACTCTTTGTTACAAGCTGTATAAGAGAACACAAAGTTCAAAGGAGTGCTGATTGTACAGCATTGATTGATTTGTACAGCAGCTAAACCATACTGTATACTGAATGTGTCGACCTGTTTACATGCGCAGCACGCCTTATTAATTAAAGCACATTAGTTTGTTAATGCAGCCCTGATTCATGAGTGGCGACCACAAACCGGAAGACGTGTCGTTGGCAGGCCTCCCACTAGGTGGACTAACGATCTCGTGAAGGTCGAGGGAGGTTCCTGGATGCGAGCGGCGCAGGACCGGTCTTTGTGGAAATCCTTGAGGGAGGCCCTTGCCCAGCAATGGACGTCTTTCGGCTGAAACAAACAAACGAACAGCCCTGATAATTTTATAGCTGTAACCTATCTGCCTAAATGATAACAATAACGCTCTTAGTTTAGCACCCACTAGTCATACGCCGCATCGAAGTGTTGCCTTGTACCAAATGAAACAGGGAATCTTGCTGCTCTGCTCATACTTTTAAATAACCCAAAATGATGGTGTGCTAGCAAAATTAAGTAAACCAGTCTTTAAAATAATCCGAAAATGTTATTTTTTTACTGTGTGAGATTCCCTATTTCCACACTTTAGAACTCTTATGGCGCCTAGCTTTACCAACATGTATATTCCCTTACCCCTTATTTATATCATATATTGATGTATGTACTTATAACGCTAGGTTTACAACCTCTGAACCATCACATAGGCTAAGTACTTAATCAAATACGAACGTAGGTACTATGCTCATTAGCTAAATATTATACATATTTAACTATAACTATAATATTGTCATTTGATTTTTACAAAAAAATATTATTTACATGTTTGTTTTTGAGTGTAAGTACCTACATTAAATTTATTAGGTAGGAACATGTATTCATCTTTATTTTATAATGCCTTACCAGTGTAATCAAATATTGTATTGTATTTTTTAATGTTATTTACTAAAATAACATTAAAAAATGTTTTAATGTTATTTTAGTTTTAAATTTTTTAATGTTATTTTAGTACAATTCTTTAATTATGCCAAAGATTTTTTTGTTTTAGATATGTACTGAAAGAGAAAACATTCCAAAGTGCAATATTGTGTCTTAAAATACTAGTCCAAACGATCTGATATAGTGTTATACACATTTTAATTATGTTATCTGTTTTATAAATAAAATATGTAATCTTATGATATAAAATATTAATTGAATAATGGTCTAGTACGCCATTACAAAACCTTATTATAATTTTATAAGAATTTGCATTCCATTACTTTGTGTATTCAATTTAAAATAAAGTTATGTAAAAATGTGTATTTTGATTTCTGAACTTTTTTCACTTTTGCCTAATCATCTGCGAGTTGTGAGACCTAAGTTGGTATAATTTATAAAAAAAATTGCACCAATATTCATGCGTTGATCGTCATCGAAGTCTCCTTCTCCCATAAAGTTGAAGATTGTTTTATTGAATGCGCGCTAATCTGAGTAACAAATGGTCCGATTTGAAAAAATCTTTTTGTAGATGGGATAGCCCATTTATCGAGGAATGCTTTATGCTATTATTATACCATCACCATACAGCCAATAGGAGCGGAGCATTAAAGAAAAATGTTGCAAAAAAGGGGAAAATTAAATATTGTTCAAATTAATTTCACATTCGTAGTGACTAGTATTATATTATCTGTGGTAGTGCATAATATTTAAACGAATCTAAAATACAGATGGCGTTTTATCCAATCCTATAAAACGCCATCTGTATTTTTAAGCAAGAACTATACCAAAGTCCACAGCATGAAGCTAAAGATAATTCATGGTCCACAGGTCATTAATCTGTGCCTCTTCCTCTGCTGTCAGCACAGATGATGGCTGTCAGTGCTGTCACTGCTGTCAGTCAGTCTTCTGTCAAGTTGGTTTAGTTTTGTAGCGATCGTTGCGGAAAAACTGCGTCGGAAAATCATATTATTGCGTGAAAAAATAGTATTGATTGTATCCGATATTGTGTAGTTCAAAGTGCAGTGTTTATTTCCTCAGCCTAACAAATTCCTTGGCACTACAAGGCTGCGGCAATATTGAATAAACATGTTGAATTCATGTTAGTAAAATTATTGTGCCAAGATATTATTTTTGCAGTTTATTTCAGTTACTTTGCATAATTTGATGATATTCTTAAATTTTTCAACAGTTTTTCGAGGTCTCCTCGGGACTGAGGAGTCTCCTACAAAAGTCCTTGAAGTGCGATCTGATAACTACATTTCGAGGCCTGTTCTGTACAGAAAAGATTCTATGATATTGTATGCACCCAAAATTCCGCCAGATACCAAGAATACTAAGGACAGATTCTTCGAAATCATCCTACATAAGCCATTTACTGAGAGCTTGCATACTATGTACAGGTCAGTATATCTTGTTATTTCTATAAATTGAGATGATTCATTGCTTTAATTATACATGATCAGATAGTTACACAGTAATGAGAGCATTGTTAGGTATTCCTATATATTGCGTAAAGTTACAAAAATTATCTAGGGTTGCTTAACCTTGCGATTGCTATTTTATATCGAAATAGATTTTTATTCTGTAAATAACATTTTGTAATGTATCTTTCAGTTTGTTCCGATCTGAGAATAAAGAAATAGCAGAAGAGAGGTTTATTGTTTACAAAGAAAGGATACCAGTATACATCACTGTGACTAAGGAAGTAAGTGGATGTCTAATAATTTGGCTTAGTTTTCATACATAAACATGAAAAAATTGATGTTTCTTTCATGTATCATTAATTAATTTATTAAAATTAGTTATTACAGAAAAAATTTAGAAATATGATGGAGGAAAAAGATTATTTTAATCAGATTGATTTTCCTTGTTTTAATAAAAGTTAATTACATGTTCTGTTTAAACAATATTATAGTTACTTTTTAAACTGCATTGTAACTTAGTTCTTGGTTATTTTATTTATTTTTACATGTGAAAGGGAATTCCCCAAATGAACTGTTGAACTTTTGTTTTCCACTGCTATCTTATTTATTGTTCATTAATAAAATAGCTGTCATTTTGTATCTTAGTTCCATTTCTAGATACTAAGAACCCATTTTAATATGTTTATCAATAATAAAAGTAATGGATGAGATTATAAAATCTGCCCTTAGTCACATCTATTTAAGATTGATTTTATTTGGCTCCTTTCCATGACTTACCTAATTTCAAAGAAATTACAGCATCTGTAGCTGAGATATGAGCCAATGTAGTACATACAAGTATTATTTACAACCATTTTGATGACTAAATGATAAATATAAAAGGCTAAAAACAAATGTAAAAAGACTTAGGGTGAGTTGCACCACCTAACTTTGACAAACGTCAAAAATCTGTCAAATTCCATACAAAAAACACCGGTTATCGTCATAGTTACGGTCAAAGTTAGGTGGCGCAACTCAGCCTTACACAATGATTAGCAAACAGGAGTGTTAAAAATAGTTTTAATGGTAGCTTACGTTTTTTATTCAATACCTAACTTGCGAATTTCCTACTTTATGTCACTAAATAGGTCTTAAATCTTTGTTTTAGTGTACAGTGGCAGGTCTACAGAAACTCTGTGACACATTGTCAGAGCACCAATCATGGACAATAGCCCATTTGGTGGCCCACATCGGGCCACACGAGCTGTTCAACGACCCTGAGGTACAGAAGCATATGGATGACACAGACCCAGCTAATGGAGCTACTCCTTTGATGGTGAGTACCTTTTTTCTGACTAACAAAAAGGGCTTAGTTGAATGCTTTTGATCTGGAATTCGCTGTAATCATTTGCTGTAATATGTTCCAAACTAGGAAAGATGGATAGCATTGAAGGCTTAAAATAAGTAGACAGAACTAGCCTTGAAGTTAGCCGGAGCCGCATTATTCCTAATCTAGATACGGCCATATACGCGCCATATGACGCAATATTGCTGACCTATGTTGCAGTTTACTACCACACTTAGAAACTAAATGGCCCTTTTTAAAAACTTTCTGTTGGACTATGGAAATATTATTTCACAGTTTTGCCAAACAACATCTTGTTAAACATTGGACACACAAGGGCGATAGTACGTAAACGTGTTACGTCTTATCTATACTTTTAGGAAATAATAGTAGCTACTATTATTTCCGTAGTACAATAATAATTATTATTGCATGTTCGTTATCGATAATTTAGTATTGATTTTAGATAAAAGCGATTAGTTAAATTAGTGACAGCATTGTAATGAATCATAAACTTATATTAGGATTTTTTGTTGATTCCAAAGTTCGAAATATTACAGTAATATTAATGATGTTCATATTTTTGCTGATACGTTTCTTGCACCCTTTATTGCCGCTGAGGCGTCGTAATCTCTCATTGTTTAACTCTAGGTTTGAGTCAGTCAAGCTGCGTGATTCAAGCAGCTTGCTATGGAGAACCATTCTATTGTGAACGCCTACAGGGTGATTATTATGACGTCATGACAAAGTATATGTAACTATGTAAGGTATTCCATATATCAATTAACTTCGCCTGCTTGTATTGTCGACTCTCACGAACTCACGAACACTGAAAGTGTACTTAAAAACACTTGGTTCCTGTCTGACCTAAATTTTTCATATCTCGTAACTAAGAAAATAATTGATCACCCCTACTAACCTCATCTCCTATTTTCACCTACTTCTAGTTTTTGCGAAGGCTCGTGTCCTACTCAAAGGTTCAATCTAGCCATACATCTTATTTTACGTCTAAATTTATTATTGTGGATTCAAGCATAATTTCGTTAGATATTTTCCAAATACGCAATGGTTTTTTATGAACACATGTTCACAATGAGGGAAACAAAGTTCACAATGAAGGCAAAACACTATAAAAAACTCGTTGAAAACGTTACTGACCTTCAACTTGTGTCGTTGTCTGAGGTCGTAATGGGTTGAGTAATATAATACGAATTTTATGTAAGATTTAGACGTGTGATATGTATTATGAAATGACGCTACACCGCCAAAATATTATTCAATACGACTAATTTCGTTTGTTCGTTTGTTTGGCGCTAATAGATAGGTAGTTATGTATGTGGCGAATGCGAACTCTATAATATGCGTCTTTACAAAAACTATAATAATAGCTTAGCAGCATTTTAGAGACGCGTAGAAAACTAATCTAGGAATATCAGAGAGTTTAGATAATCTTTTTAAACGCACTAATCTTCGTAATAGGTATTGTTTCTTCTTTTACGTTCTTATTCATCTAAGTAGGATATTTACTCGTATGTTTGAAGCATCTTCTAATTCGGATTTACAAACCAAAAAACGTATACTTCTGGACAAAGGTCTCCCCTAAAGATATCTACAATGACCGGTTACACGCGGCCTGCATCCAAGCGATTTCCACGACCTTCACCAGATCGTCGATTCATCGAATGAGAGGCCTGCTTAAACTTTGTCTTCTAGCCAATGCCCCAGCGAACATCAGTTTTTTTTTTTTAACGTCGAAATTAAAAATCACCCATTGTTCTTTCTTCCGCAGGTGGCAGTGAAGTCATGCAACCTGCGCATGGTACAAAGCTTGGTGTCGCTGAACTGTTCCTTAGACGTGGTCGACCTGGACGGCAACACGGTGTTCCACTACGCGGCTGCTAGCAACAAGGAGATTATCAATGTAAGTAACTCATGGGCATATCTAGGGACGGAGGGCAGGAAAGGGCAGCTGCATATCCCTATAGTCTGGTCCGTGAGCACGTAGAATTTTGTCCAATGACCCCAAGCTACCCATCCTTAACGCTCGCGCGTAATTATGTTGCTGTCACGCTCGCACACTCACTGCGGGCGCCCGTCCCACAGTCGCGATAGCGAGCGATAAGGATGGGTAGCTTGGGGTCATTGGACAAAATTCTACGTGCTCCCGGACCAGACTATACATACCTTTACCGTCTTTAAAGGCTTATTTGCACTAGAGAGGGCAGGAGAGGGCAGCTGCCCGCCTCCGCTAAAACTCGCATGGATGTCCCCAGGGGTCTGCATCAAAAAATTTGAGCAGCGCATGCGTGTGACGTGTTTCCACCCTGCCTAAAAAAGCTTCCACTCTCTTTTTCAACGGGGAAAAATGCATTAATTTGCATACCTACCCTGAAACTATGCATGGTCCTAATAAACATAGTATCGAAATATGTTTTTGCAACGTTATAATTATGTCTAGACATTGTAAAAAGCCCTGAAGATGTACAAGTACAAGTATGTAAATCTTATTAGCTACCCAAAGCGAAGATTCGAGTTTTTACTTACTTGCAAATATTAGTCATCATAACAAGTAAAAATAACTTGAGATAAAGTTTGTTTGCATTGACGTTTACGTAACAGACTCGCCTGTGTTGACAGACACAACAGACAGATTTTTATTTTTGGCATATTTGCAAAGCCAAGTACGATACTACTATTATCTATGGTGGCATCAAATTCGCTATGTGTTTTCGCAATTCGAGATATGGTGGCAAATGGCACATACAAATGAATGAAATGTATAATTTCAACGACTACCATGTCGATCAAAGTCCAAAGATAAAAAAAAATCCACCTCATAATGAGAAACACCTTTCCAGAAATAACTAATATTATTTAAAAACTCTAACCATTCCTACATGTTAATAATACGTTAAGGCTAGGATTTACCGCCTCGATGCCGTGCATTCGTTACCTCAGCCCCCGCACACCTCGCACTGACACTCGCGCTGACACTCGCGCAACGCGATGACGCCACAGTGTAAAAACAAGCCGTAAGTTGGATTAAACCGTAACCTTCAAATAGTGAATAAATAAATAATAATTTAAATATCCTTCGACATAATATTTTAACACTGCGCCTCTAGTCTCAAACTAAGCAAAGCTTGTACTATAGGATATGAACATATTAATAAATAAATACATTCATATTATGGTTAGAAAACACCCAGCCCGAAACAAACATTATTATAATGTTCATGCACACAAATGTTTGTCATTCAATAATGTCAAATAAAGATGATAATATTAAGTCAAACAAATACTTTTTACCGACAAAAATAGTAAGCAAATGATCACAAAAATGTAAACTCCATTTTAATATGAAATACTAATGTTCTTTTACGTATTGCTATTCTATTTAAGCAAATGACTCTAAATTAATCATTGTAAACTCAGAAATAGTAAACAATCCTCAAAACAACTTGCCTAGAGGTCCTCTTCTGCCCTTTTATAATTTTTAACTTAGATTCAAGCAGTAAATTTCTAAAATAATTAATTATGGTATCAATTAAATAACTGTATTGCCATCTAGTTTTATAATTCAGCATCTTTAAAAAATTGTGAAACATCGGAATTGATGACTCGCCTTATATTCTTTCATCATCAAAAAGTACCTAATATTATCATCTAATTGTAAATTATGGCAACTATTTCCTCATAATTATTTGAAAATATAAGGCAAAAGGTTTAAGTTTTACAAAACTATGAAGAGCAGATATCTCGAAAACCATACAAGATATTATCGAAAAACTTGACTGAAAAAAGTAGTAAATGAAATGAGATTTCATTTTGTTGCAATAGTCATATCGCTAGGACGCATAGTTATTTATTTAGACAGTTTCTGAGATATAAGCGAAAAATATAATTCAGCATCTTTAAAAAATTGTGAAACATCGGAATTGATGACTCGCCTTATATTCTTTCATCATCAAAAAGTACCTAATATTATCATCTAATTGTAAATTATGGCAACTATTTCCTCATAATTATTTGAAAATATAAGGCAAAAGGTTTAAGTTTTACAAAACTATGAAGAGCAGATATCTCGAAAACCATACAAGATATTATCGAAAAACTTGACTGAAAAAAGTAGTAAATGAAATGAGATTTCATTTTGTTGCAATAGTCATATCGCTAGGACGCATAGTTATTTATTTAGACAGTTTCTGAGATATAAGCGAAAAATCAAAAAATGGGACCTTCAAAGGCTGCGATCGAGAACTTTTGTCATTCACTTAAGTTACACGTGTTTTATAAGTTCGGCGATTTTTGTTTGTTAGGAAAAATGGAATAAAAGACCACAAGTGGCACTTATGAACGTCAAAATATAGTAAATAATAAAAAAAGAAAAGGTAACCCCTATGGGGCACTTTACATGTCTCCTTACCTTTTGGGCCCTACCAGCACTTCGAGACAAACATATGGCAAGTGCTGAGAAGAAACGCCGGAACTAACTCCTTACGATCAAAGAATTTAAATCAAGTTTTACTTATAAAATGAAATGAAAAGTGTTTGAAATGTTAAAAATGGTCTTTGGTGAGTCTGCGGTGAGTGAATCAAGGGTTTACGAGTGGTAAAATCGTGTCTAAGAAGACCATGAATGCATAGAAGATGACGAGCGCTCTGGACGCACCAGCATATCAACAACCGATGAAAATGTGAAAAAACAGAAAGAAGTGGTTATGAAACACCGTCGAATCACAATTAGGGAAGATGCTGATGATGTTAGCATGTCGTTTGACTCATGCTATGAATATTTTTTTGGATTTTTGTCGGTATGAAAAATTAATTTGTTAAAAAATTGCTGAATTTTGAGCGAAAGTGGCGGCGAATTTTTGCTAAAACAAAACTGTAACAATGTTCCAATCTCCAAATTTACCGGAAATGGCTGTGTATGACTAGTTTCTATTTCCGTGAATAAAAATAACTTTAAAGGGTCATCGTTTTACAGACATAAGTGACATTAAACACGCGTCGCCGATCGATGTAAAGGCTATCTCAAAGATCGACTTTGAGAAGTATTTTGAGAATTGGAAGAAGCGCTAACACACGTGTATAATGTATAATAGGGACTATTTTAAAAGTTTAAATACTAATGTAGATCAATAAATAAATACTTTTCTGAAAAAACGAAAATTCCCGTTATTTTTTAACAGACTATGTATACATACATAGGGTTGCCAGGTCCAGAAACACAAAAGCCGGACTCTGTGCTTCATTTGGCCGGACATTTTACTTTAAAATTAGTGTCATAGCTCACGAAGTACTATCATCATCGGTTGCCCAGCGCTTGATATTATTCCGTAGCTCGGCTTTCTTTCGCATAAAAAGCCTAACAAAAGCCAGACAGGCTGGACAAGACAATATTTGGCCAGACAAGACCGTAAAAAGCCAAACATGTCCGGATAAAACCGGACACCTGGCAACCCGATACATATATGTATAAATGATCTCATATTAATCACATTTACCAAATCATAATTATTTCATAATAACCGGTAATTATTCATAATTTTTATCACATTTACCGTAACATATAAATCAGGAGGACAAGTCATAATAAATATTGTTCTTTATAATTTGACGCTTTCTTTGGAATAGTTAGGTGGCATTTAAAAGAAGGCGAATTAGTATATTAGAACTTTAGAAGCCTCTTAATATTCCCGTGGCTTAGTTTTAAAATCAAAGGTTGGATACCGTGGAAAAATAATAATAATAAACTTTATTTCTGTATAAAAACAGCCTAAAATATTATTATATCTGCGGCTTGACTCATAATTTCCCATAAATAAATTAATTTTTACTCATTGGTTTTATCTGATATTTGGAAAATGTACTATGTATCATCCATAATTGAAAATTCTTAGCTTTCTCCAGTAATACTGATATTATTATACTGTGACTCGCCACCCGCCAGACAGAGGCGATTTTGTCAAAAATATTGACAAATCGCGAACTGTCACAGGAATAAAACTGACACGCGTCCGTCCTCCGTAAGCGCCACCGCGCGACTGATTGAGATTGTTCAAGCCGTCATGGCCGATTTTTTCACATTTTTTCAACATAGTAACTAAATAAGACGCAATAACAAAATTTTGAAAAGTTGTCGACCTAGAAAATACAAAGTCCTATCTATTAGTATATATTTTAAGTGTAAAATGTTAAAAATGAATATATGAGAGTAAAACAAAAAAGCCGTCGACGTACTTCTTTGGGTTTTTTTTTATCGGACAAACTATGCAATATCGTGTTTTGGAAAAGTTGTCGCCCTAGTTAAAGACATTAACTTACTCCTACAATTTTTTGTTTGCTAAAATATCTTTTCATTTAGAAACTATCTGCAAACAAAATCGGTCAAATATCGACAATTTGGAAAATCATGGCCTTAACACTAAACTACCGAGATGGAGAGGTCCTTCCACTTTGCTGGCTGGTAATTTGTACAATAGAGGATCAGAGACAATTAATTTTTGGAACTAACTCAAGTTTCATTTAAAAACAGAAAGTGTATACTTTCTGTTTGTTCATTTAGATAAACAGAAACCTACAATTGTAGTGGACGGCAAATTGCTTAGTCCTGTAGGCCTAAGATGCGCGCCGTGATAACTTTTATCGACGTCAATTTGTATGGGCAAAATCGATAAAATTGCGTGATAACCGCCTATCACGGCGCGCATCTTAGGCCTGCCTCTAAAAATCTATAGGCTGTCATCATCATCATTTCAGCCACAGGATGTCCACTACTGAATATAGGCCTCCCCCAATGATTTCTACATCGCCCGGTTGGTCTGCATCCAGCGCCTTCCTGCTACCTTTATGAGGTCGTCGGTCCATCTTAACACCATCCACGTCCACGTGTGGACGCCCCAGCTGCGTTTTCCGGTAGGTTAACTCCACTCCAGAACCTTACTGTCCCATCGGCCGTCAGTTCTGCGTACTATGTGCCCACATTGCCCTGTAATCTGTGGGGTGTCTAAATACACCTTTTGACAGGTGCTAGCCGGCAAAACAGCCGCATCCCTAAACGTGTTCAACATCCTCTTCATATGACTTTCCTGGCCAACGCGTTAAACTGCGTACGCGCACTGTTTTAAAGTCTAAATAAACCTTTTTTTCTTCCACAGGTGCTAGCCGGCAAAACAGCTGCATCTCTGAATGTGTTCAACAAGCAGGGCTATACGCCTCTTCACATGGCTTGCCTGGCCAACGCGCCGGATTGCGTGCGCGCACTATTGATGGCTGGCGCTGACGTCAATCTTACAGCTGCGCAGCGGTCGGCCACTAGTATACCAGGTGGGCAAACATAGAGACTCCCCGATTTTAGGGACCATTTATTGACCCCATTTTAGGACACTGTCTTTTGTCGTCTTGTCAGCGCCCGCTCAGTGCCAACGAAACGTTTTTGGTGACAAGTACCAAGCCTCCTTACCCGCTACTGAAGCTACCATGTACCATGCATGGTTTAGTAAAACAGCGGCATCTTTGAACATGTTCAATAAGCAAGGATACACGCCTCTTCACATGGCGTGCCTGGCTAACGCGCCGGATTGCGTACGCGCACTATTGATAGCCGGCGCTGACGTCAATCTTACAGCTGCACAGCGGTCGGCCACTAGTATACCAGGTGAGTAAACGTTAATTTTAGGGACCCCTGTCTTGAGACTCCCCGATTTTAGGGACCAGTCTCTTAGGGACCCCATTTTAGGACACTAGTCTTTTGTCGTCTTGTCAGCGCCGGCTCAGTGCCAACGAAACGTTTTTTGTGACAAGTACCACAGCCTTCTTACCCCGCTACTGAAGCTACCATGTACCATGCATGGTTTAGTAAAACAGCAGCATCTCTGAATGCGTTTAACAAGCAAGGATACACGCCTCTACACAATGCTTGCCTGGCCAACGCGCCGGATTGCGTACGCGCACTAATGATGGCCGGCGCTGACGTCAATCTTACAGCAGCGCAGCGGTCGGCCACTAGTATACCAGGTGGGCTACTTTGATTTTAGGGATCCGACTTTTAGAGACCCCTCTCTTAGGGACCCCCCTTTTAGGAACCAGATAGCTTGTGAACGATATATTGCACTATATTACGACTAATTCGCGTGCTGCCCCAATAAGCACCACCAGAGGGACCTGTCAGGTTTTATGGTTACGCTCTGGCAGGGAGTGACCATATCATCCAATGTTGAGAACTACTTAACTAGTTTCGATTGTAATTTTTCTTTCTGTAAATCTAAGTTTTCATTCAAGATGCTCCAGCTTACTAGGATACCTTCGTAGCTAACGGAAGTTACAGTTATATGTGCACCACAGATTACTGGCAATCTTAAAGAAGCAGTTAATGAGGGCTATCGTTTTAGCGCTCACCAGTTAGTGCCACTGTAGAGTAAGGTCCTGTCACTTGCTAGTAGCGAAGACAGTGGCACCAACTGGTGAGCGCTAAAGTGGTAGGAGGACTATCGCATTTGCACTCATCAAGATGGCGCCACTGTAGAGTAAGGTCCTGTCAATCGCCAGGGGTGCCAACTGTTAAGTATAAAAACGATAGCCCTCATTGACCCAAAAAATCGAAATGTAAAACTTAAATCAACGACAAATGATATTTTACAGGTATCGTAGGCGATCTGCTGCAAGACAACCAGCCAAAGCTCCACCAGCAAGATATGAAGCATGGAGGCACGCCTCTCCACTGGGCCACATCCAGGGAGGTCATTGAACCTTTAGTCGACAAGAACTGTGACATTAACGCTGTAAACTTCGATGGCCGAACTGCCTTGCACATCATGGCGCTGCGCGGAAGACTCGATTGCGTCACAGCACTACTCTCCCGAGGCGCAGAACATTCAATAGGAGACAAGGAAGGCAATACACCTCTACATATAGCTGTGAAACAAACGAATATACCAATAGTTCAAGCGCTGACAGTTTTCGGCGCGAATTTGGAAGCCAAAAATAAGGAGGGGCACACGCCAAGGCATAGCGTGCCGATTGAAATGTCGAATAGCAACTATGACAAGATCTTGTATGTTCTTCACGCTGTTGGTGCCCAAAGGTAAATATTTTAAGTGCCTGTTAACCTCACATATTCTTTGAACAAAATATGCGCAAATGTATCTTATGAAAAAAATACGATAAGGCACAAGTTGGCTCGTAGTTAATAAATGTTAACGGGGATACCCCCGGGTTATTAGGATTACACAAATATTAAAAAATATACATAACAGTTGTGCACTTTGACATTTCGTCTAGTAGTTTTAAAACATTATTGACGTCATACCATGTTTTTCAAATTATCTCAACACATTGAAACTGAAAATATTCTTGGTCAAAAACACTATTTGACACATAAAAGCATGCAAATTGGTTTTCATGTCTGCAATAGACAGTGGCATGATAAAATATCGCTTTATTCCTCCTATTCAAGACTCATTTTCGCATGCCCAGCCGACATTGTGGCTGCAGGCAGACTAGTTGCACGGCGAGCATACCGCAATAATCATCTTTACTCCATTATATTCAAGGTCCATTTTCGCAGATGCCCAGTGGCTGCAGACTAGTTGCTTGGCCAGCATACCACAATAATCATCTTTACTTGATTACATTTTAGGTCCATTTCCGCAGATGCCCAGGCGACATGTGGCTGCAGACTAGTTGCTCGGCCAGCATACCACAATAATCATCTTTACTTAATTACATTTAAGGTCCATTTTGCATATGCCCAGGCGATATTTGGCTGCAGACTGAGTTACTCGGCTAGCATAACACAATAATCATCTTTACTCAATTACATTAAGGTTCATTTCCCCAGATGCCCAGGCGACATGTACGGGTGCCGATTTGGTTGCTCTGCCAGAGTACCAGAATAATCGTCCTTACCCCATTATATTCACGATCCATTTTCGCAGATGCCCAGGCTGAGTCGCTCGGCTAGCATAAGCATACCACAATAATCATCTTTACCCCATTACATTAAAGGTCCATTTTCGCAGATGCCCTGGCGACATGTACGGCTGCCGACCGGGTTGCTCTGCCAGAGTACCAGAATAATCGTCCTTACTCTCTTATATTTAAGGTCCATTTTCGCAGATGTCCTGGCGACATGTGGCTGCAGACTAGTTGCTCGGCCAGCATACCACAATATTCATCTTTACTTAATTACATTTAAGGTCAATTTTCGCAGATGCCCAGGCGACATGTACGGCTGCCGACCGGGTTGCTCTGCCAGAGTACCAGAATAATCGTCCTTACTCTCTTATATTTAAGGTCCATTTTCGCAGATGTCCTGGCGACATGTGGCTGCAGACTAGTTGCTCGGCCAGCATACCACAATAATCATCCTTACTTGATTACATTTAAGGTCCATTTCCCCAGATGTCCAGGCGACATGTACGGCTGCCGACCGGGTTGTTCTGCCCGAGGGGAGTATAACGGAGTGCCTCCTCCCCCCGTAGCCCGCGCCGCCGCCCGAAAAGTCATCAATGATATGTTGGCGGTGGCTGGTATAGAGAAGGCGTCGGGATTTGACGAGGATAAGAAGTGTGGACGGTGAGTAGTGTTTTATAAGTAGAGAAAATGTCATATCTGATATAGCCCGCATTATTGTCTAACTTAAGTGGCAGTGGGCATGGCCATAGCTAGTAGAACTGTTAGCTGTTGGGGCAGATAGTTCTCGAGTGGTGATAGAAGATCTAGTGAAGGTCTGAGCGCCTGGATGCAGGCAGCGAAAGACTGGTTGTTGTTGAAATCCTTGAGAGAGGCATTTGTCCCTCAAGACGAATGGCATATTAAGCTTTATGCGGATTCCTCCTCCTAGTCTTATTTTCAATGTGATGATAACCAATTGAGATTTAGATTTTATTTTGATAAGTCATCTCTCTATGTCTTTATGTATATTGTATATTGTAAGCCGGATATGAACCACATATCCGGCTCGAAGGACCAGTTTGAAAATCATAGTTATAGATAAATTAAATCATTCTTTTCAGACTTCTCTGCCTAGACGGCGGTGGAATCCGCGGTCTGGTCTTAGTCCAAGTGCTGTTAACCCTTGAAGAGTCGGTCGGAAGGCCCATAGTGGACTGTTTCGACTGGATAGCGGGGACCAGTACGGGAGGAATCTTGGCGTTGGCTCTCGCCTGTGGGAAGAGTTTACGGGAGTGCCAGAGACTGTACTTTAGGCTCAAAGAGATTGCCTTTGTGGGAATGAGGCCATACCCGTCGGATCCTTTGGAGAATATACTGAAGGATTGTTTAGGTAAGGTTATATAGACCTCATCTCACTATTCTTTATGACAATAGTTTTAATGGGTCGAACATTAGTACTCGTATGTTGTCGATTTGGGTCTTATTTACAACTCGACTGTTTTGTGCTGCTTTGTACTGCGTATACGCAGTCAGCGAATATCAAATCTCGCAGGAAATAGAAGTTACATTTTGGTATTCTAAACAATGTATAATAAAGTTTCAAACTATGATTACAGGTACTGAAACCGTGATGTCAGATATCAAACACCCGAAGCTCATGATCTTAGCTGTCCTGGCTGACAGGAAGCCGGTTGACTTGCACATCTTCAGGAACTACCAATCGGCGCAGGAGATCCTTGACGCGTACAATGGAACAAACAGTGAGTCATCATCATTTCAGCCATAGGACGTCCACTGCTGAACATAGGCCTCCCACAATGCTTTCCATGTTGATCGATCGGTAGCGGCCTGCTTCCAGCGCTTCCCTGCTACCTTTATGATGTTGTCGTTTCACCTTGTGGGTGGACGTCCCACGCTGCGTTTTCAAGTTTGACATCTGTCATTTATATAAAGTCTGTATAAATGACAGATGTCAAACTTGAATGAGATGTAAGAAAAAAAGCGCAGGCGCCGGTTACTGGTCACGTTACAGTAAAATAGGGAAGATGATAAGCTCATCTGTTAAATATCCAGTGTTTTACTCTACTTATCAAGCTATTTTTATCATCAAATCAGACAGAAATCAAATAAAACAGTAGTTTGTCTTTAATGGTTTTGTTAACGTATGACTTTATAACACTTAAACCACATTACATTACTAGGCTCGGAGTTTCCCTGCGTGATCGAATCAGAAATGAGGAGATCCGCAGGAGAACCTAAGTGACATAGCTCGCAGAATCGCTAAAATCAAGTGACAGTGGGCGGGGCACACAGCTCGTAGAGCTGATGGCCGCTAGGGCAGAAAAGTTCTCGAGTGGCGACTACGAGCCGGAAGACGGTAGTGTGGGCAGGCCCCCCACTAGGTGGACCGACGATCTGGTGAAGGTCGTGGGAGGTGTCTGGATTCGGGCGGCGCAGGACTGGTCTTTGTGGAAAACCTTGGGGAAGCCTTTGTCCAGCAGTGGACGTCTTTCGGCTGAAACGAACGAACAGTGCTCGTTAAAAGTCGAAATGAAAACTTCTTTAAATGACGTTATCGAAGACAAGTCTGTAATGATTATTTCCAGGTCCCAGGGCAGAAGCAGGCGATCAAGTGTCAGTGGTGTCATTACCAGTCCCGCCGCCGCCGTCCGAGCAGTTAGTTTGGCAAGCGGCCAGGGCTTCAGGCGCCGCGCCCTCTTACTTCAGGGCTTCGGGCAGGTAAGCGATTGAATGATACTAAATCCCGGTCCGTGAGTGAATTTTGTCCAATCCCTAGCTACCCATCCTTATCGCTCGCGCGTAATGAGGGCTATCGTTTTTATACTTAACAGTTGGCACCCCTGGCGATTGACAGGGCCTTACTCTACAGTGGCGCCATCTTGATGAGTGCAAATGCGATAGTCCTCCTACCACTTTAGCGCGCACCAGTTGGTGCCACTGTCTTCGCTACTAGCAAGTGACAGGACCTTACTCTACAGTGGCGCTAACTGGTGAGCGCTAAAACGATAGTCCTCGTTATATTGCTGTCGCGACTGTGCGACTGGCACCCGCAGTGAGTGTGCGAGCGCGATAGCAACATAATTATGCGCGAGCGATAAGGATGGGTAGCTAGGGATCATTGGACAAAATTCTACGTACTCACGGACCAGACTATAACTATTACTTCGTACTGACCAAACTAGTGGCGGAGTGTTTCATTCTGACCAATTTAGTGACAGTCGTTGCATACTGACCAAATCAATGGCTGTGTGCTTCATACTAAGTCAACGGCTGAGCGTTTCATACTGCACAAATCAGTTGCTTTGGTACATGTGTCAGTAAAAGGCGAGTATTATTCAGTTATAGGTGTCGCAAGTGCAGGTAGGGACCAAGTGTCATTTGTGTCATTACCAGTCCCGCCGCCGCCGTCCGAGCAGTTAGTTTGGCAAGCGGCCAGGGCTTCAGGCGCCGCGCCCTCTTACTTCAGAGCTTCGGGCAGGTAAGCGATTTAATACTGACCTAATCAAGGGCTGTATGTATCAAAATGACCAATTCAGTAGCTGTATGTATCAAAACTGACCAAATCAGTAGTTATGAGTTACTTACCAATTCAGTGACTATGTATCAAGCTGTCTATATCAATAGCGGTAGATCATGTGTCGTTGGGTGGCGAGTATGTGTGTAAACGGCGTCCACCAAACCCATCCATATGAACAGGGTAATAGATATTTATTTAATTAATTATTGGGGACTAACAGTGTATTTAGAGAACGGTGCCAAAAGTATCAGTACCAGGTACCATGTGTCACTAAATTTAATAGGATGAAGGGTGTAGGCGAAATTATCGATTTCGCCCTTCATTATAGTGTCGTGCTCCTGCATTGGGGATTAAATTACTTTACAATGTTGATGACGACTTTTATATCCNACCAAGGTCATCCCACCGACAGTCAGCTTCTTTACCAATGTTGAGAAAAGTTTTCCAGCGGCATCCAACACCTGTTCAATATGATATTATCACGAGCCGTAGTACCGGAAAAAAATATCAAGAATTACGTATTGTGAATCAGAGTGAAGGACAAGTACCAGAAGTAAATTTTCCAAGAAGTCCAAATAAAGAAAATTTTAAGCTCACAATTTTGAAGAATATTGTCATAAAACCAGCAGACTCGGCTTTACAACCGCTTTTCAACTTGAACCATGTTGGATACTGATTAAACTTTTTTTTAATAAAAGTTATCGTTTTTATTTACTCACATCACTACTATTTTAATATGAATAGTGCGATACGGGGTTCAATGTGTCCCGAATTTTCTTTGGTTTTTAATTTATTTATTATACTTCGTATCTACTAACGAAACGAGATTAGCATAGCCTATGTAATAATAAAAATATGAATTATGACTAAATATCAAACAAAGTTCAAGAAACAAAAAATAGGTTTATGTCATGTACTGAAACCAAAGCGTCTAAAAACAAAAGAGCGGGCAACCCCACCCCTACCACGCTTTATATATTTTATAAACCATAAATGAATATTTTGTTAAAAGTTTAATTGCGGTTAAAATATCATCCCTTTTGAAGTGCTTAAACCGCATAAACTTTGTTTAGCATCTTTTATATAAACGCTATCTAAGTCCACCATCTAGGAACTTTTTTTTTTTTAACAAGTGGGTAATCTCAGAATGTACTCGTGTCGACAGATGCGATTAAGAATATTCTTAATATCAACGTCTCTGCGCCGACGTGTATAATTATTTGTTATGTANTGATCTCGTTTTGATTTAAAAAATAACAAACATTCGTCACAAAAATGTAATTTCCCATGATGCTTCGTAACTTGATTTCGAACCAACTTTGTTAAATCTAAATATATAAAAGGAGAAACTGACTGACTGACTGACAGATCAACGCACAGCCTAAACGGCTAAACGTAGGTACTTGAAATTTGGAAGGGACGTAGCTTAGGTACAGTAGAGGTGCACTAAGAAAGGAATTCCCGAAATTCCCACGGGAACGTGAATTAGCGGGAAAAACGGGATTCACGTGTACGAAGTCGCGGGCGGCCGCTAGTCCTTTATAAGACAATAATGGGATTTGGAGTCCTTTTCTAACAGAAGCATATTAACATGGTGTTTTTTTCGTAACAACGTTTTANTTCTATATCTTCTTCCCTGGAGGTAAACGTCAATGTCATCTCTTCTCTAAATATAATGAGACCGCTCGGACACCGAGCCCACAGCGTGGTAGGGGTGGGGTTGCCCGCTCTTTTGTTTTTTACTACTACTACGCTGAATATTGTGTGCGGATTGGCTTGTCGTACAGGGGTACTACACGGTAAAATAAATCTCTTCGGCGAAAACAGGATAATTCAGATCGAACTTCACTTGGTAAGTTCGTTTGATCATATAATTCCAGGTACCTAGACGGTGGTCTCATGGGCAACAACCCTACGCTGGACGCTTTGACAGAGCTAACGGAGCTGAGACTGGCTCTGAACGGCGTCGGTCAGTACGAGGAGGCGCGCGCGACCAACCTTAAGGTTGTGGTGTCTTGTGGCACTGGTAAGGAGCGAATATAAATGTAATAAATGTATAATAGTCGACTATCAGGTAACTTAACGGATGCCAACTTTAAATTAAAGTTTTTTTTATAGATTAATACAACTTTAATAAAAATAAATCATAGTATCTCTGTATATCTCAGGGAATTGAGAATTAATTTTGCTTCTAAATAGTGTAAAGTGACGTCACCAGTTCCTTTTGTTTTGTCAACCAGGAGTTTTGACAGTTCATTAAAAGAATACATCCTTTACAGGCTTGTGACTTCAAGTTATAGATCAGCAAAAATAATAAATTGTAAACTTTTTTCAGGCCTAATACCTGTCACGAAGCTGAAGGACATCGACGTGTTCAAACCAGAAAGTCTATGGGACACGGCGAGGCTCGCGTGGGGTCTCTCGGCCATCGGTGGATTGTTGGTAGATCAGGTCAGGATCATAATGACGGTGTAACAAATTAAATGCGATTTGACCGATCTTACTTTGTTGATTGATTTGTTAAAACAATCGTAACGTAATATTTCTTATTGTATTCTACAATAGTTGCATACATGATACATTTGACAGTTGTGTTTTGCCATACACAATCAACAAAAAACTGTCAACATTCTACATTTTTTGTTGAATGTTGAGATGTTTTTGTTGATCGTGTAGGTAGGGATAGATTAGATTAGATTCCTCCTGGATAGATCCATTTAAAGACATTATTCTACATAAATTGTTAGTTTGACCTTGTAATTATCAAATCTATGAGACAAATTGACATACTATATTAAATTCTATCTACTAAATTTGACATTGTTAATTATTATTGTGACATTTAATTTAATTCTTTTGTATAATTTCTTGAATCACGAAAAATTGATTCTGTTGCATGCCGTTATGGCATGATGTAGCTGAACAATATAAATTTTTATATGACCTACTTATATGTACCTACATTATGTAATAAATGATTTTGATTTGATTTGATTTAGGGCAAAACACGCGTTGGAGACCCGGCTTTATGCCGGTAGCCAGAGGAGCTGTGTCAGAATTTTTTGAGAGCCTCAGGTGGTTTTCCTCGATTACTGACAAAATATTTTCAACTTAATCTTTACAAAATAAAATTCCTTTTTCCCTACACTGTTCAAAGGGTTATGCCCACTTAGTATTATATGGGACCTTTGGCCTGAGGTGGACAGACATTACAGCATGTAATTTGTTATTTATTAAATAGTCTATACCAGTAAGAAACAGAATATAAACATCATTTTGTATCCAAGTCCTTAAAAAAATTTTTTTTTGCTTAAGACTAGAAAGGTTAGAAGCAAAATAAAACACCATTTTTTTTATTATTATTATTTTAATCTGACTCATGGGTCAATAAAATATTGTCTAGGAACTAGGCAGGTGGAAATACATGTTCCTGATACCTTGCCCAGCTCAAAAACCACAAAATTGTCATAACATGAGCACAGCAACCTACTGTTATTCGGCCAATATCAGGGCAAATGAATCCTCGTCCTATCATGTGTTTGTTGGGGCTCGATCAGCTCACTGCCATCAGGGATGACATATTTGGTCAGATCCCCGCAGCTGAAACAAAGAAATTAATTATGGTATCATTTAAAATTCATTCTTTAAGATATTGAGATGTGATGTCAATTTTTATCTATCAGTAAGAAGTATTTGTACAGAAAAAAATATACACTTTGTTCAAATATATCAAGCCAATGTCTTTAATAAAATATAATGAAAATAATTATAAAAAAACTTACTTGACGAGGTGAAATCTGTTCCATTATTACATTATTTTCGAATATGTGATTCTCTTTCCGTGTTAATATGCAGTCTATGGAACATATTTGTAACAAAGATAATCCACGTTAACTGTGACCAGTGCTAGTGGTTGCTTCTTCATTTGAAATATTATTTGTCCTTGATTGGTGCAGAGCCACACCGTGGCCACAGTCCAACATGAGTGACAACATACACTGCTGTTATCAATCTAAAAAAAAAGTTTTATTAGGATTATGGTAATCTACGGTAAAGGTAGTTGATCAAATACATTGTAAAAGGTATGCAACAAGTCCACACGCTCATTCAATAACTTACCAGCTGAGGAGTCATCCACTGACATTATAACCAACTGAACTTAATAAGCTCTAGGCTATGTCGCCTCCTCTGCATCATGTCAGCTATACAATTGATACATATCATAGGTTCCTCATGAGATTGAGGAATTGCTGGTTGCATTATCCAAAATCGGGCTGGGGTTAACATTGGGGCTCGGGTCGGAGTCCATACGTAAGCCGTGGTCGGCGTTTAGGCAAGGTTCGATGTCCGAAAGTGAGCCATTGGTCATTGGTTGAGTGAGATTCGTAGTTCGAGAGTATGCAAGGGTTATCGGGAAGAGAAGCATCGAGGACCATGGTCAAAAAAATAAAGTCGTCAAAAGGGAAACTTATACAACACTCTTCTGCTTTTATTTTGGCAAAGACTTGGTTTTGAGAACTAAACAACACTCACGATGAAAAATACAAAACAAAGCGAATGACAGATAACAGCTGTGACAATATTTTCAGTGTTGCCATGCTAATAATGTGGTGATGAATAAAAATAATCGATATAAAAATCGATTGTATTTTTTGATGACTCGAAATAAGGTGTATAATAAGGTGTGTGTGAAATAAGGTTTCATTTAGTTATTTAAATATTTCTGGTAGTGTTATTGGAATATTAGAAAGGTTTTATAAATGTCATTTTAATGAATACGTATTTAAAAAATACTAATTGTCATAGTCGAAAAACAATCGATATGAATCGATTCTTACCGATAAGATTCATTTTGGCAACACTGAATTGAGTGTTAAAGACAGGAAGTTGTAATTATCACATAAAGTACTATTTAAATTGGATTTTTATAAAGGCAAATTGATACAAAGTTACACTAAGTGAATACTTTAAAAATTAATTAAAAATTTTTGGCAAATTCATCTTTTCATTAGCAGCTTGTCCACGCCAGGCCAGAAATGAACATTGTCCTTTAACTCACTCTTTTCCAGGCAACGCAATCCGACGGCCGCGTCGTAGAGCGGGCGCGCGCCTGGTGCAGTTCCCTCGGGGCTCCATACTTCCGCTTCTCGCCACACATGTCTGCCGACCTGGCCATGGACGAGCGGGCCGACGACAAGCTGGTCACTATGCTGTGGGAGGCCCAGGCTTATATGCGCGAGCACCGGGACGAGGTGCGCGAGCTTACGGCGCTGCTTCGAGGGTAGTCAGGTCAGTTTTACGAGTATAACTGTTAGGCTGTCTGTTCTGATGACCGTAGATAAAAAATACCCTATGGGATCCACTAAAGCCTGGTCCGTGAGCACGTAGAATTTTGTCCAATGACCCCAAGCTACTCATCCTTATCGCACGCGCGTAATTATATTGGGGTCATTGGACAAAATTATACGTGCTCACGGACCAGGCTTTAGCAACGTTGACTTGTCAGAACCCACGCAGCGGCGACTCGACCCTGGCTCAGCGTCGACTGGGCGCTGGCTCGATGTCGATTGGTACTGGCTCACGGCGCTGCTGCGTGGGCACTGTCAGGTCCTCGCTGACGTCACAAGCTGGTCACTATGCTGTGGGAGGCCCAGGCTTATATGCGCGAGCACCGGGACGAGGTGCGCGAGCTTACGGCGTTGCTTCGAGGGTAGTCAGGTCAGTTTTAAACAGTAATTTGATGACATTGCCCCCGGGTATAATGACGCGGCACTAGCTAAACTTTGACTCGGCATCGACTCGCCGCTTGGCTCAGCGTCGACTCGGCGCTGGCTCAGCATTGACTCGACTCTGGCTCAGCATTGAATCGGCGCTGGCTCAGCATTAACGTCGCGCTGGCTCAGCTTTGACATAGCGCTGGCTCAACGTGCTGGCTCAGCATTGACTCGGCGCTGGTTCAGCATTAACGTTGCGCTGGCTCAGCTTTGACGTAGCGCTGGCTTAACGTGCTGGCTCAGCAATGACTGGCTCAGCATTGACTCTGACTCAGCATTGACCCGGCGCTGGCTCAGCTTTGACGTAGCGCTGGCTCAACGTCGACTCGGTGCTGGCCAAGCGGCGACATGAGTCTATCTTAGCATAGTTAGCGTCGACTCGGCGTTGGTTCAGTGTCGATTTCGCGCTGGTGCAGCTTCGGCTAGGTGCCGCGACGCCAATGCTGAGCGGCACTTTCAGCCAAATGACGGCCACCGCTGGACAAAGGCCTCCCCCAAGGTTTTCCACAATGAACGGTCCTGCGCTCCCCGCATCCTGGCTCTTCCCGCGACCTTTACCAGATCGTCGTAGAGCGGGCGCGCGCTTGGTGCAGTTCCCTCGGGGCTCCATACTTCCGCTTCTCGCCACACATGTCTGCCGACCTGGCCATGGACGAGCGGGCCGACGACAAGCTGGTCACTATGCTGTGGGAGGCCCAGGCTTATATGCGCGAGCACCGGGACGAGGTGCGCGAGCTTACGGCGCTGCTTCGAGGGTAGTCAGGTCAGTTTTAAACAGTAATTTGATGACATTGCCCCCCTATAATGACGCGGCACTAGCTAAACTTTGACTCGGCATCGACTCGCCGCTTGGCTCAGCGTCGACTCGGCGCTGGCTCAGCATTGACTCGACTCTGGCTCAGCATTGAATCGGCGCTGGCTCAGCATTAACGTCGCGCTGGCTCAGCTTTGACATAGCGCTAGCTCAACGTGCTGGCTCAGCATTGACTCGGCGCTGGCTCAGCATTAACGTCGCGCTGGCTCAGCTTTGATGTAGCGCTGACTCAACGTCGACTCGGTGCTGACCAAGCGGCGACATGAGTCTGTCTTAACATAGTTAGCATCGATTCGGCGTTGGTTCAGTGTCGTTTTCGCGCTGGTGCAGCTTCGGCTCGGCATCGCGACGATAATGCTGAGCGGCTGCCAAACGCCGGATCTACCCAGCGTTGGCAGCACGTTCGTTTCAGCCAAATGACGGCCACTGCTGGACAAATGCATCCCCCAAGGTTTTTCACAATGAACGGTCCTGCGCTCCCCGCATCCTGGCTCTTCCCGTGACCTTTAGCAGATCGTCGTAGAGCGGGCGCGCGCTTGGTGCAGTTCCCTCGGGGCTCCATACTTCCGCTTCTCGCCACACATGTCTGCCGACCTGGCCATGGACGAGCGGGCCGACGACAAGCTGGTCACTATGCTGTGGGAGGCCCAGGCTTATATGCGCGAGCACCGGGACGAGGTGCGCGAGCTTACGGCGCTGCTTCGAGGGTAGTCAGGTCAGTATTACGAGTATAACACTGTTTTCTAGGAGTGTCAAAGATCCCTCCATAAATACTGTTCTGATTAGATAGATAAAAAATACCCTATGGGATCCCCACACTAGTTTCTTTCAAGCGTCATAGCCATTGTCAGGGCCAGAGTCGACTTGACACTGGCTCAGCAACGACTGGGCGCTGGCTCAATGTCGATTGGTACTGGCTCACGGCGCTGCTGCGTGGGCACTGTCAGGTCCTCGCTGACGTCACAAGCTGGTCACTATGCTGTGGGAGGCCCAGGCTTATATGCGCGAGCACCGGGACGAGGTGCGCGAGCTTACGGCGCTTCTTCGAGGGTAGTCAGGTCAGTTTTAAACAGTAATTTGATTATATTGTCCCCCTATAAAAGATCTTTCCATAAGTACTGATATGCTGAAAAAATTATCCTATGGGATCCTCCACAGCGACCCCCGATAGCGTCTTTCGAGCGTTGTCTTGCGACTGCGCAGCGGCGACACGACGCTGGCTTACCGTCAACGCAGCGCTAGCTAAACTTGAACTCGGCGTCGACTCGCCGCTTGGCTCAGCGTCGACTCGGCGCTGGCTCAGCATTGACTCGACTCTGGCTCAGCATTGAATCGGCGCTGGCTCAGCATTAACGTCGCGCTGGCTCAGCTTTGACATAGCGCTAGCTCAACGTGCTGGCTCAGCATTGACTCGGCGCTGGCTCAGCATTAACGTCGCGCTGGCTCAGCTTTGATGTAGCGCTGACTCAACGTCGACTCGGTGCTGACCAAGCGGCGACATGAGTCTGTCTTAACATAGTTAGCATCGATTCGGCGTTGGTTCAGTGTCGTTTTCGCGCTGGTTCAGCTTCGGCTCGGCGTCGCGACGCCAATGCTGAGCGGCACTTTCAGCCAAATGACGGCCACTGCTGGACAAAGGCCTCCCCCAAGGTTTTTCACAATGAACGGTCCTGCGCTCCCCGCATCCTGGCTCTTCCCGCGACCTTTACCAGATCGTCGTAGAGCGGGCGCGCGCTTGGTGCAGTTCCCTCGGGGCTCCATACTTCCGCTTCTCGCCACACATGTCTGCCGACCTGGCCATGGACGAGCGGGCCGACGACAAGCTGGTCACTATGCTGTGGGAGGCCCAGGCTTATATGCGCGAGCACCGGGACGAGGTGCGCGAGCTTACGGCGCTGCTTCGAGGGTAGTCAGGTCAGTTTGTGTAACGCTGTTTGCTAACTCATTAGCCTATGAAAACATTATCCTATGGAATTTTTATTATATTTTATTTATTCGCCGTCAACGCGGCCCTAACTCAGCTTGAACTCGCCGTTAGCTCAGCGTCTTAGCGGCAAGTCGACGTAGCGCTTGGCTAACGTCGACTTGCCACTTGGCTCAGCAACGACCTGGCGCTGGCTTAGCATTGACTCGGCGCTGGCTCACCATAGACTCGACGTTGGCTCAGAACGACTGGGCGCTGGCTCAGCAATGACTCGGTGCTGGCTCAGCATTAACGTCGCGCTGGCTCAGCTTTGACGTAGCGCTGGCTCAACGTCGACTCGGTGCTGACCAAGCGGCGAAATGAGTCTGTCTTAACATAGTTAGCATCGATTCGGCGTTGGTTCAGTGTCGTTTTCGCGCTGGTTCAGCTTCGGCTCGGCATCGCGACGCCAATGCTGAGCGGCTGCCAAACGCCGGATACCCAGCGTTGGCGGTACGTTCGTTTCAACCAAATGACGGCCACTGCTGGACAAAGGCCTCCCCCAAGGTTTTCCACAATGAACGGTCCTTCGCTGCCCGCATCCTGGCTCTTCCCGTGACCTTTAGCAGATCGTCGTAGAGCGGGCGCGCGCTTGGTGCAGTTCCCTCGGGGCTCCATACTTCCGCTTCTCGCCACACATGTCTGCCGACCTGGCCATGGACGAGCGGGCCGACGACAAGCTGGTCACTATGCTGTGGGAGGCCCAGGCTTATATGCGCGAGCACCGGGACGAGGTGCGCGAGCTTACGGCGCTGCTTCGAGGGTAGTCAGGTCAGTTTTAAACAGTAATTTGATGACATTGCCCCCCTATAATGACGCGGCACTAGCTAAACTTTGACTCGGCATCGACTCGCCGCTTGGCTCAGCGTCGACTCGGCGCTGGCTCAGCATTGACTCGACTCTAGCTCAGCATTGAATCGGCGCTGGCTCAGCATTAACGTCGCGCTGGCTCAGCTTTGACATAGCGCTAGCTCATCGTGCTGGCTCAGCATTGACTCGGCGCTGGCTCAGCGTTAACGTCGGGCTGGCTCAGCTTTGACGTAGCGCTGGCTCAACGTCGACTCGGTGCTGGCCAAGCGGCGACATGAGTCTATCTTAGCATAGTTAGCGTCGACTCGGCGTTGGTTCAGTGTCGATTTCGCGCTGGTGCAGCTTCGGCTCGGCGTCGCGACGCCAATGCTGAGCGGCACTTTCAGCCAAATGACGTCCACTGCTGGACAAAGGCCTCCCCCAAGGTTTTTCACAATGAACGGTCCTGCGCTTCCCGCATCCTGGCTCTTCCCTCGACCTTTACCAGATTGTCGTAGAGCGGGCGCGCGCTTGGTGCAGTTCCCTCGGGGCTCCATACTTCCGCTTCTCGCCACACATGTCTGCCGACCTGGCCATGGACGAGCGGGCCGACGACAAGCTGGTCACTTTGCTGTGGGAGGCCCAGGCTTATATGCGCGAGCACCGGGACGAGGTGCGCGAGCTTACGGCGCTGCTTCGAGGGTAGTCAGGTCAGTTTTAAACAGTAATTTGATGACAATATCATCAAATTAAAACCCTACAACACAATTTAACTAACTGTGCACCTCGTTGGAATGCGACTCTTCCTCGCACTCATCCGCACAGCTCCCCGCGTTCGCCCCGTCCGTACCAGAGCGTCGATGTGACGTCACGAAGTTAACTCGATCGGTTTGTATATTGTAGTCGGCAGTGCTGCATAGACAGGTCCTCGCTGACGTCACAAACTCGTTACTATGCTGTGGGAGGCTCAGGCTTATATGCGCGAGCACCGGGACGAGGTGCGCGAGCTTACGGCGCTGCTTCGAGGGTAGTCAGGTCAGTTTTAAACAGTAATTTGATTATATTGTCCCCCTATAAAAGATCTTTCCATAAGTACTGATATGCTGAAAAAATTATCCTATGGGATCCTCCACAGCGACCCCCGATAGCGTCTTTCGAGCGTTGTCTTGCGACTGCGCAGCGGCGACACGACGCTGGCTTACCGTCAACGCAGCGCTAGCTAAACTTGAACTCGGCGTCGACTCGCCGCTTGGCTCAGCGTCGACTCGGCGCTGGCTCAGCATTGACTCGGCGCTGGCTCAGCATTGACTCGGCGCTGGTTCAGCATTGAATCGGCGCTGGCTCAGCGTTGACATAGCGCTGGCTCAACATCGAATCGGTGCTGGCCAAGCGGCGACATGAGTCTGTCTTAGCATAGTTAGCGTCGACTCGGCGTTGGTTCAGTGTCGATTTCGCGCTGGTGCAGCTTCGGCTCGGCATCGCGACGCCAATGCTGAGCGGTTGCCAAACGCCGGATACCCAGCGTTGGCGGCACGTTCGTTTCAACCAAATGACGGCCACTGCTGGACAAAGGCCTCCCCCAAAGTTTTTCACAATGAACGGTCCTGCGCTCCCCGCATCCTGGCTCTTCCCGCGACCTTTACCAGATCGTCGTAGAGCGCGCGCGCGCTTGGTGCAGTTCCCTCGGGGCTCCATACTTCCGCTTCTCGCCACACATGTCTGCCGACCTGGCCATGGAAGAGCGGGCCGACGACAAGCTGGTCACTATGCTGTGGGAGGCCCAGGCTTATATGCGCGAGCACCGGGACGAGGTGCGCGAGCTTACGGCGCTGCTTCGAGGGTAGTCAGGTCAGTTTTTAACAGTAATTTGATGACATTGCCCCCCTATAATGACGCGGCACTAGGTAAACTTTGACTCGGCATCGACTCGCCGCTTGGCTCAGCGTCGACTCGGTGCTGGCTCAGCATTGACTCGACTCTGGCTCAGCATTGAATCGGCGCTGGCTCAGCATTAACGTCGCGCTGGCTCAGCTTTGACATAGCGCTAGCTCAACGTGCTGGCTCAGCATTGACTCGGCGCTGGCTCAGCATTAACGTCGCGCTGGCTCAGCTTTGACGTAGCGCTGGCTCAGCTTTGACGTAGCGCTGGCTCAACGTCGACTCGGTGCTGGCCAAGCGGCGACATGAGTCTATCTTAGCATAGTTAGCGTCGACTCGGCGTTGGTTCAGTGTCGATTTCGCGCTGGTGCAGCTTCGGCTCGGCATCGCGACGCCAATGCTGAGCGGCACTTTCAGCCAAATGACGGCCACTGCTGGACAAAGGCCTCCCCCAAGGTTTTTCACAATGAACGGTCCTGCGCTCCCCGCATCCTGGCTCTTCCCGTGACCTTTAGCAGATCGTCGTAGAGCGGGCGCGCGCTTGGTGCAGTTCCCTCGGGGCTCCATACTTCCGCTTCTCGCCACACATGTCTGCCGACCTGGCCATGGACGAGCGGGCCGACGACAAGCTGGTCACTATGCTGTGGGAGGCCCAGGCTTATATGCGCGAGCACCGGGACGAGGTGCGCGAGCTTACGGCGCTGCTTCGAGGGTAGTCAGGTCAGTTTTTAACAGTAATTTGATGATATTGCCCCCCTATAACGAAATACTGTTCTGATTACCGTAGATAAAAAAAGCCCTATGGGATCCCACACACTAGCGACGTTGACTTGTCAGCGCTCGCGCAGCGACCACTCGGCGCTGGCTTAGCGTCGACTGGGCGCTGGCTCAATGTCGATTGGCGCTGGCTCAATGTCGACTGGGCGCTGGCTCAATGTCGATTGGTGCTGGCTCACGGCGCTGCTGCGTGGGTTGGGTCAGTGCGCCACTGCCAGGTCCTCGCTGACGTCACAAACTCGTTACTATGCTGTGGAAGGCTCAGGCTTATATGCGCGAGCACCGGGACGAGGTGCGCGAGCTTACGGCGCTGCTTCGAGGGTAGTCAGGTTAGTTTGTGTAACGCTGTTTGCTAACTCATTAGCCTATGAAAACATTATCCTATGGATTTTTTATTATATTTTATTTATTCGCCGTCAACGCGGCCCTAACTCAGCTTGAACTCGCCGTTAGCTCAGCGTCTTAGCGGCAAGTCGACGTAGCGCTTGGCTAACGTCGACTTGCCACTTGGCTCAGCAACGACCTGGCGCAGGCTCAGCAATGACTCGGCGCTGGCTCAGCAACGACTTGGCGCTGGCTCAGCATTGACTCGGCGCTGGCTCACCATAGACTCGACGTTGGCTCAGAACGACTCGGCACTGGCGCAGCAACGACTTGGCGCTGGCTCAGCATTAACGTCGCCCTGGCTCAGCTTTGACATAGCGCTGGCTCAACGTCGACTTGGTCGAAGCGGCGACATGAGTCTGCCTTAGTTAGCGTCGACTCGGCGTTGGTTCAGTGTCGATTTCGCACTGGTTCAGCTTCGGCTCGGCGACGCGACGCCAATGCTGATCGGCTGCCAAACGCCGGATCTACCCAGCGTTGGCGGCACGTTCGTTTCAACCAAATGACGTCCACTGCTGGACAAAGGCCTCCCCCAAGGTTTTCCCAAGGTTGAACGGTCCTGCGCTATCCGCAACTAGGCTCTTCCCGCGACCTTTACCAGATCGTCGGTCCACCTAGTGGGAGTCCTGCCCACGCTACGTCTTCCAGCCCGTGGTCGACACTCGAGAACTTTCCTGCCATCTGTCATCGTCTCTACGAGCTATGTGCCCCGCCCACTGCCACTTGATTTTAGCAATTCTGCGAGCTATGTCGGTTACTCTGGTTCTCCTACGGATCTCCTCATTTCTGATTCAATCACGCAGGGAAACTCCGAGCATAGCCCGCTCCATCGCCCTTCGGGTGACATTGAGCCTTCTTATGAGGTCCATAGTAAAGTCGCTTACTATGGGCCTCATAAGAACGTGGCGGCACGTTATTTAGTTTTAAAAGATTTAGTACGTCGCGTCGACGCTGCGCTGGCGCAGACGAGACAACGACCTTCAAAAGACGCTAGTTTTGGGAGGCCTATCTATGGCTTTGTACGTGACTTTGAGCCTTCTTGAGTTATAGCTAGAGACTATATATTTTTCAATTTAACTTTTTTATTGTTACAGATGAATACAAACAACAGTAGGTCCACTGCACATAATAATCTTGAAAGACTTATTAGCAGGTCTGTAGAAGAATGTCTGTCTGCGTGTTTTTCTTAGGTGAGTCAGCAATTTTCCTGTGATTTTAGACTTATGAGTTTCTAATAAGTTCGTGCTATTTTTTACTTATGAACTATGTTACTATGAGATGTCAGACCTATATAAATGAATGAATTTGTAGGCAAAAGTTGGTTCGATTGTAAAAAAGAGTTCTTTCGTATTTAACAACATACGAAAACATTTTATTAAGTTATTTTATTACTTTACTTTTACTAGTAAACAATGTAACATTACAGGGTCGGTATAAGTATATGAAATGGGTAGAATACCAAAATCTGTGACCGTAGTGTGTTATTTAATTTTAGTACATAATATCACTGCTCACCGTTTCAGGTTTTATCCATAATTTGGGTAAAATAAACATTAGGAATAAGTAGTAGTTTGCCTAATTGAAGAATATTTGTATCGGACTTGCAACGAAGTTTATAACTGGCTACATAATTATCTCGAAAACATTATAATCTTCATAATTACCGTCGAATACATTATTAATTTATCATCTATATTCGACGGGTGGCAAGAACCAGCTTTTTGAGGTGGTAGAGGTTATTTTTGAAAGTTGGAAAAAGGAGGAAATTAAAATAAAAAGGATTTCTATACCACAAGATTTCTTAAAGACATTATTTTGTGTGATATGTTATAAAAATAACCAATCTTCTGTTCCGTCGGCTGCCGAAATTCGTTGCAAGCCAAATTTTTATTTATTCTATGAATAGGGTGTGATATTACCCACCCTGTAACAATTGCATTGAGAGTCAGGCATAAAATATTGCTAGGGATGTACAATTTTTCGATAACTCGATATTCTATATTGAAGTGAAGTAGTTAAAGAAGTAATGAGAGACGAAAGCAAGTGCCTGATATTGCAACCACTCGTTACGTAATGTAGATTAAGAGATTAATTTTGCTTGTTCATAGATATATCAATTAAATGTACCGATATTTAGTTATGTATGTAGTTAAAATGTCAGATTGTTGTTGCATGCTTATCTTGGTTGTTGTTGGTCTTTTAGTTAACAAGGGTGTAGTTTGTTAGCTGTTTTAGTGTTTAAACATTTTGTCATATTTAGCTGTAGTATGTAATGTTTTACCGAATGAATGTAAGTACAAGCTGCATGGATAAAGAATTCGAACAAAATAATGACAGACGTGAGTGCTCTTCTGTGTCGTTTGACTAAGGGTAGACAAAAATTTTAGATTTTTATCTTGGTGATAATTTATTGATATGCAGTTATCGCTCAAATTTTTAATTTGGTATCAAAATTCAGATCATATTTGATGTTACCGCTCACTATCGATACAAACTAAAGTAAAGTATCGATAACATAAACTCAACAATAATATAGACGATCATAAAACTCAATACTACTGGTGATCAATACCTGTGACTAAAAACACACACCATTAAAATATATCGTTTGTGTAATCGTATCGATAATCTAATATTATATCGAGAAACGAATATTGTTAGTTCCACATCACTAGATGAAAGCTGTATTATGCTTTTGTATGCATTTCTACAAATTAAAATGATTATTTACAAATAATAATTAAACAAATATCGTATAATCGAATACAGTTAAAGAACTAATATTTTTTACTTAAATTATGATGAATAGCTGTAATAAAAACATTTAAACATAATTCTTTATCTACGCGGATTGTCCAGAATAAACGAGTTAATGTAAAAGATAGTCTGAAAAAACATCACAAATATACTAATAGCTTTCTTTGTTAAAACATTTATTATTAAAATATTTGTACACGAACAAAATTATGTAAGAGAAAACGAAAATTATTCGAGTATTAAGAAAATGCCTTTGTTGTTTTTTAACCCGTAAAATCTATCTTAGATTGTGACAACAGTCGTCTTGTTTAGATTATTTACCATAGTTCTGCAGTTAAACCGCAAATGAGACGATTGTCCATTGTTGCATAGTAAAATATACCAATTGCATATTACTAGTCAAAGTGGTTTTACTTTAATTTAAAAAATATTACGTGTTTCCGTTTTAGTACCTGACTGTACTATACTATTTCTGTTTTATGTATAAATTATGTAGTCATGTCGTTTCATCATAATGAAGTTATTTTTTTAAAGATCAATAATTTTCTTATAATTAATTGTTTGTGAATCGTTATAATTTAAAGTACACATGAATGCAAAATAATGTATGATTTCAATTGTTAAAAATTGTTGAAGTTCATCAATTTAATAAATTGAAGAAAATACCTAATGTAAGATGTATTCAAAAGAAATATGTATCAAGTATTTATTTATGTTCTGTAAAATTAAACTTAAAAATCTATAAGAAGAAATGAAATATTTCAGATCTATCAACAGCTTTGACATTTCTATGTCAAAATGCCATTCACGATTTGTCGTCCTACATGGTATTGGTATATATATTTCCCTTATAATTTCCATTATAACAAGGAAATCTCTTCCCATAGCATTTTTACCGTGTAATCCAAATAAACGATAATATGAAATCCAGGTGTTTTATTAAAATACAACAATTATTTTCAAAGCTCTTTATTCTTTATATTATTTTTCTATTCTAATGCTTATACAAAGACTCAATAATATCACATTTCTGATGTGGATATTATCAATCCACAGACTAAGCTAAAACTAATAAAAATAAATCCTATATCTAATTGTCTATTTCTCTAAGTACCACCATATGCGACCTATTTCATAAACACTTATGAATGCAGTCGAAAAAACTATGTTTTAGTGTCTCTTGAAACGCTTTTTGCATAAATAAAATTTTGTATACATTTTGAATGGATAAGTACATTTTGTCGTTTGAGATTCTACAAAGTCTAAGTACCAATGGGCGGTTTACAATAATGTTAAGTATCAAATAATTTAGTTTTCACAACATTGGGTCGATTAAATAATAAATACTTAGACAAAAATTAATTTTGCACATTACTACGAAATAATTCATAAATATGTTTACAATTATAGGAACGGAGTTCTTAAACTAAAGTACACAACTACTTTTCTTGGCGCGTGTTCAAAGTTCGAGACTTGAGGCACCGATTTAAAATAAAAAATAATAAGAAAAATCTGTACTCATGGATATAAGATGCAGTAAAAATCAATTAGAAAAAAAACCATAATATTTATTAAAAAAACATCTAGTGATGGAATCATCATTAAATTGTTTAAATTGTTCCCAGAATAAAATATGAACTACATCTTATATCCCAAGTACAACAACCATACTTCACTCAATTTTAAACTTAACTGGATTTTTGACATTTATATCTAAGAAACACATTTTTGCATTTATCAAAATGTTTTGTACATGTATTATTTTATTATTAACACTATGACAGCTTTTTTAGGGTTAAACAAATATTTTCTGAACGCTACGTTTATACAGCTTTTAGTTTTTATAAAATATAAAATCGGTAACATTCTATTTCTGCGTCTGAACATTTTTTTTTTGCATTTGCTCAAAAAATTACAAATTATAAAATTCTATTACATATTGGTTGGTACTTTTTGCATACCTTTACTCCCAACAAATGGTAACAAGTTCCAAAATAGATAAAATGTCATATTATAAATTATTGCTTTGTTTTGGTGTTTAAATTTTGGTCCGTTTAACGATTTTAAAGAGGTTAAAAAATGGTAACTTTTGTGAAAATAATAGCAAACTGTCGTGTTGCTACAAACGTCTTTCATTTATGAATGAGAGCGCTTTTTGCTTTAAAATGTAGGGTGTTGCTTTATTAAAATAAATCATTGACATTTTATCCATTCTTAAAATCCTATTGTAACTACTACCCATCTAAAAGTATTTCTTATTCATACAACCACACTAACGCGCAAGTACAACTAGTCAACAAGTCGATTTGATAAAACATTTGTTTGGAAGAACAAATGACAAGAATGAACGAAAACAACCATGTCATCATGATTTGTGGGTGATTTGAACACAATTTGCGGAATAGGAACAGTTTGTCAGATTGTATCTTTGAGGCGTCATCTTTTTTGCGTCATAACATCGTAATTTGAAGCTTATTATCTAACTTTACCCATTCTTTCTTTTTTTAGTAAATGAAAATAGCCAGAACGTTTTTTCTTCAAAAAAGAATTTGTAGTTCTGTTAAATAATCTACATATAATATATGTCACACTCATTTGTCTTGTTAGTGAGCAGCGAATGGGTTAACAGATGTATTTTTATTATTGAATAGAAAGAGATAAACTGATTAGTTTCGGCAATAGTAGTGTATGAATATCCATTATTTTTAAGATGACTGCCTCTAGATATTGCAAATAGATATTTATATTGTTTGATATAGCAGTGATTTTAACGGTTACATAAATGTAATATCACCAATATACCAAGGTTCACAACGCTGATTGGTAACATTGAATTACACAAATAAAATTTTATATCCTATTGTATAAATTTGGTATAATTTTACTGATATTTTTATAAATAGTTTTGTTTTAAATGCCATAAGTACATATACTTAACGCACGACTATTTTTCGTTATTATTGCGACGTTTTATAAACATTTAAACGAAGAATTTTACGCGATGCAAGTGTATTCCACTGCATGTTTACTTTCGGTTCTAACAATAAAAAAAACAAGGACATTTGGCACGGTATAATAACGAAAAATAGACACAATGTTAGAATCGTGTTAAAATTAACATGGTTTGGCAAGTCTCCACATAGTTAGAGATCAATATGCTTCTAAGCAATGTAAAGCTGGTTGCTTATTGAATATACAAGGCACATATACCTACCCGGTGCCAGGCCATGGAAATTTTATCGATATAATTATATCCCGCGATATACCTTATCTACACACCCAGCCTAAAATCTAGTTCCATGTACTCAGATTTTAGCAGCCCAATGTATACACAGCCAGATACTCACACAGTTCTCCATTAGTAGTCGCTTTATATCAAATATCACATATATTTCAGCCTAACATGTACTTAGAAATAGGTTTATGCGAACTTTGTTAGTACAGAATTACCATAAAATTAGAACAATACGAGTTCAACACACAGACCTAGAAGACAACGGAATTTGAAAGCTGGATAGTAATATTTGAAATTAAAATTATCTTTTTGATTTTATTCTTAATTCTTAATGTCATATCGTCCGGCGTCCTTCGTGCAAAAGTTCGCAGCAAACCTATTTCATGTAAACGTCAATTATTATTTGGATTCCCTAAAGAGTAATAACTCGACCATGATTCTAGAGCCCTAGACGGAATGAGGTGATCCAACTAATTTTGTACTAACCCCTAATTTAGCAATTCGGTTACTCTAAAATCAGCCTAAAAGCTACAACGGAGAGTACAGTTCAGTTTGTGACGGCGGAAAGCTGAGAGCTCTATTTACCATGGTCGAAAAGCAAATTTTAGTACCGTTAGTACTCATCAGGTAGTTCCATGTTGGCAATAAGGTTCTTCTTCTCTTCTTTCCCTGGTTTGGCATCGCCTAAGGTTGGTCTAATAGTGGAACGCGGTTCGAAGCAAGGCTGTAACAAAAAGAAAATTTTTGTTAGTCAAATAAACTTTTACCTATTTGTGTAGAAAATTTTCTTCTCAGTTAGGTACTAGCTACTCGATGATTATCTTAAATTCATTCCGTTAAAAAATGTTTGACTTTACTTTTTAAAGCTTTTGCCCATCTAACACCCTGTATACATATTACAAATCTACTACAAATATAACAAATAACATTAGTATTTCTTAAATACAACTTAAATAAAGCTTATTGTTTTTGAAAAAACACCCAAAAATGGGATCAAGAATCATTAGCTCGTAGTGTAAGAACTAGAGCTATATTTTCCCAATCCCATTTGTTTTGTTATTATGGCCATTCAGTTATTCTGCTCTTGTTAGTACATCAACCACCGTTAATGTATGAAGCCTGGTATTTATGTTTAAGAAAAACCTTGGAAACGGACGCCAATTTCAATCCCAGTTGATATGCTCGCACCTATCTCCCTGCATGAAAATAAAAATGCATAGATAGACTACAATTTGTTAATAATAATGGTGTTATGAAATGAATGAAATCTTACAGCCCAAGTTAATGGTGACAAAACTTTTAGAAGTACGAGTAACTGAGCAGTTAGAAACAAAAGTTGGAAAAATGACATTTCACGTTTAGTTACACACGCCGTATCCGTAGTGGGTTTAAAGGTTATAAGAAGACACAAACCCCCGTTATCCATAAATAATATTAGAACTGCATTTTAATTGTTTTTTTTTTCTCTTTTCATCTTAGTGAAATAAAAATTTGACATAAAGTACGAGTATACTTAAGCTAATGTGGTAGGTATTCTAACACTTAATTTTTTGCGAATAAGCTGCTGTATATTTTATATGGGCACTACGTTCCTTATTCGTAACTACAAAATTGCGTAGGTTTTGATATAAAATTAGTATGTTATTGTGGTTTTCCTTCATTGAATTTCGGAACTTAATTAATGACGAAATTGATATTAATTAAAATAACGCAACGTGAGGTGTTATTCAAATGTAACACTCTTTAATTACTAATTTTATATTAATTAAATTAAGTAGGCATTGTTATGGCCTGGAAGGTCAATTATTAAACAAAACTGAAACGCATGCTAATCAAAAACTAATATAGTTGGATCAATATTATAAGTATATAAGGTTTTGTGTTATAAGAAGTAGAAAAGGGAAATTAGTAAAATAACTTACAGTCTCACAGATGTTCATGTTGCAACAGTTTTCTATAGTGATCTCGCATTGATCGGGCCGCGCTGTCATCGGCGTCACGTTCTTGTTCACTATGATGCGCTTCTTTATTCTGAAAAGGAGATAACATATTGCAAACATACAAAAAAAAACATCACATAATTGATACCATAATAGGTACTTAATATAACAAAAAACAAATGCACATCAACAAGAATATTGTTAAGTTTTGAAGTAGGTAAGTGAAGTTATTTTCGTGCATTGCATGGGTTAAACTTTGTGCGAGTTGTAGACCAAGAGATAAGCTTAGTTTAGCTTCGCTCGCATAATTTATGCAGTTTCCCATAGTGTTTGTATATTTTGCAGTTTGCCTACAACTATGGAAAACTGCGTCAGCTATGCGAGCTAAGTTAATTTACTCGAATTATAATTATTAATAAATCACACACGTCTTTCACTCACAACACAATAAACCAAAAAGTCGTCAAGATATACCAATCATACCTAGGCCTTCTCTTGAGCTGTAGAACCTTTGTGATCAGCACCGTGCAGGCCACACACAACAGCCCACACAGTACTCCAAGCACGACTATCACTGGATCCCTCACTGTATCCCACCCTTGGGTACATTCAGATGGCTCCACGAACTCCCCATCGGTCTGCACTGAATTCTCGGCCTGGTACAACGAGCGAGTCTCCTTAGTGCAACTGGAAAAAAAGGTAAATATGCTATTTAATTGGCATTATGTGGGTGATTTATACTTCGATCAATATAGGGGGAGATAATAATATTGTTCTGATTAAATTCGTAGCGATTTCCAAGAGCTCTTCCCAAGGACTACTCAACCTAGACTTGTTGGGTTTTTATACGGGAGTTGCAGTAGTGGGATCTTGAGGTGAGATTAGTTCTGTAATGCTGACATTACCCTGGTGACTGAAAGAAAAACCTGTTTGTCTTTGGCGCTGTCCTTAGGGGAGACTTACATCCAGCAGTAGACTGCAACTGACTGATGCTAAAGTAACTGCTCGAGCATTATAACATACGTAAGATTATTTTCCAAACACTCACTTGCAATTCGTTGCTGCTGGGATTGGAGCTGCTTTCACCATCTCACACCGCTGGCCTTCATAGTCCCCAGAGCACTGGCATTCAGGTATCTGATCTTTGTTGACGGTGCATACACCATTGTTCAAACAGTACTGGCTGCAGACGTCAACTTCACACTTCTCTCCTTTGTATCCGTGCTTGCAGCTGAAAATAATAAATTGATTAAGATTAATGTACCTATTAGTCCAGTCAATGAATGCCTTAACGACGGCGTAGAGAGAAATCCGTGGAACACAATTTCTGACCTCGGGACTTTATTTAGCCTAGTTAGGTGGTGAACATAGCAAAAGTCCCCGCCCTTAGCTCTTGAGCCGGCGGGGAGAGGGGGATTTAAAGGTACCACTTTTCGGTTTTTCGCTTAATCCTCGGAAACTATGCGTCCTAGTGACATGACTACTATGAACCAAAAAAAGCTTATTCAATTTGCTACAGGTGAGACCGTCAGGTTTTTCTATATCTTGTATAGTTTTTGCGGCATCTGCTCTAGAAGGTCTGTAAAATTGGAAATTTTATTGTTGTCTTACATGTTCCTTTCAGGAGAAAATCGACTAAATCAACATTGAGCAAACACTATAGACATGCGGGAGCATGTTAAGCCTAGTTCCATGGAGGGGACTGCACCGTGCGTATATTTAGACGAACCAATTAGAGCCACTTTTGACTCCTCATCATTCAAAAACTACTGTGCATTAACACTTCAAATTTGGCTTATGTATTGAGACTTGCAAGATATACATCAGCTTCAAATTTCATAAATATACCTCAAACGGTTATTTAGGTATTGACGTTCAAAAATCGATATTTAGAGCACTACTATCTATCTATCACATGTGAAATGTTAAAATTTACTGTTTTTTTATTTGTTCCTTTGTATTTACAGCTTTTTTTGGTTCAAAGTAGTCATGTCACTAGAACGCATAGTTTCCGAGGATTAAGCGAAAAACCGAAAAGTGGCACCTTTAAACTCCCCTCTCCCCGCCGGCTCAAGGGCTAAGGGCGGGGACTTTTGCTATGTTCACCTCCTAACTAGTCTAAATAAAGTCCTGAAGTCAGAAATTGTGTTCTACAGTTTTCCATCTATAATGCTTTATTGACTGGACTATATGCTGAGCTAAGATTAATTGTATGACTTAAAACATGGAACAGATTTTAAGTTAGCATTGTAATGTATCAGAGGGCATAAGCCCTCTCATATTGACTTTCAAACAAAGCTTTTAGATCACCGGCACCGTCAAAAATATGAGTATTTGTTTTTTCCTGCAAATGTGTTGAAGAGAACTTTGACACTGATGATAGACTCTCTTTGACTCAATGTAGGTAACATTGAGTAGGCGCCATTTACACCTTATTAACGATAATGATGAGTCTATAAAATGATAACGCGTAACTTAATACATATTAAAGATTTTACCTGCACGTAGGTTCACCTCCTGGAGTAAGACTGCAATCGCCTTGTAGGCAGTAATTGCTACAGACTGATATTTCACAGCGGTCCCCTATGTACCCCGGGGAACATTTACAAGCCAGTTTCCCCTCAACCTTGACACCATAGAGACAGAACAGCCCCCGGTCCTTGGGAATGTTGAAAGAATCGTTGATCGCTGTTTTATTTTTGGACATTCTGGACAAAGCGTCACACTCAGGGATGCCTTCAATTTCATTAGAAACCTGGTAATTCGCAATAACCCCAAAAGGCGCTTTATGTGAGAAACTGAGCAGTTCGAAAGGTTCAGCGTTATTTTTGTCCTTTGCCAATTTCCAGATTTTCTTGTATAAATCGACCCAGTAGATCGAGTCTTTTGACACTGTTAAAGCATTTGGTTGATGTTGAACGCCCCTTAGCAATGTCTGCCTGTCCTTTCCTTCAAGGTTGGAACTTTCTATGGAAAAGTGTATGCCCTCTTTGTCATCTGCCCAATATAGTCTCTTAGTTCCCTGGTCGATGGCTATGCTGACTGGCATGTAGATATCAGTGTTGACAATGACCTCCCTTTCAGAACCATCAAATCTGGATCTTTCTATCGTTGGATTTGTAATGTTTGTGTTTGTCCAGTAAATGTATCTGGAAAGAAACAACAAAATGTTATGTAATTAATTAGATACTATTGCCATAAACTGACATAAATAATTAAAAATAAAAGTTGCTACAGCAATAAGTAGCGAAAAAATGTTCAAACACTCATGTAACTTTTACGAGTAACTTACCCTCGACAGCTATCGACGGCAATTGCTCTTGGAATCTCATCGTTCATTTTGATCAAAAGGTTTCCATAGACATCGTTTTTGGTGCCTAGCATCAGCGACATCCAGAATATGCTCTTTGCGTTTGTGTCAGTCCAGAAAAGCATTCCTTTGACGGGATCGAAGGCCAGACCTTGGATGTTCTCGTACGACCTCCTCCTGACTAGTGACTGGTACTTCTTTGTTGCTAAGTGGAAGCTGAATATGGATGCGTTGTCATTCTCCTTGTCGACGAAGAGCAGCATGTTGTGGACAGCATCATACGCTAAAGCCGTAAGGTCCCTAAAGCGGGTGCCTTCGCTGCTTGTTTTGGTTTGGTTACTGTAGAACTCTAGTTGGTCCCCATTGGTGATGGCAATATCTGTAACAAGGAAATCAAACATAAGGATAACTGCGAAAATATTGCTAATTGAAGTTAAACTTTCATGGTCACTAACATTAGAATAATTAATAACAGGATTATTAACCTTATTATTTACGAGCCTCCGATATTTCGGCGCCCGCAAAATCTTCAGTTACTGCGTGATCATGGCGCTTTTCAGCAACAGTGCTGAAATATCGGAGGCTACATAAGGTAGCAATCACGTTAGTAATAATTATTCTAATTGAAATAAAGCACCTGAATTTAATAAAAACAAAAACCTACAACGAGCCATAAGACCAGAATACAAAATTCCACACAGGTCTCAATCACGCAATTGGCCAATTTATCAGGGAGAAAGTGTTGCAATCTTACCGGGAGCCCGTAAAAACTTTTATTTTCGGACGAAGTTTGCAACTGAATTAATTTTAGATGAAATTGAAATAAAATTACCAAGTGGTGGTTACATAAACAGTGAACTGATGTGTACAGCTATAGTCAATGAATATTTGGCATCGAGACCGCCACACCACCGTCTTGTGACTGAGCTGATTTTAGAGGTCAGTCACACTGATAGGTTTTACATAACCGTTTGAAACAGTTTTTTTGCATTGAATTATTTATTGCCTTGGTGAGCTAAGTCTAGAAAAAGTGTCACAGAATAGAAGAAAGGTCGCGAAGAGGTTAAATACAAGTCCTTGTAGACAACATCCGCAATTTTCCTGTGATTAATAGTCTAAAATCGGAATAAACAACTCCAGTGGAGAAACACATTTCACGCGTTGATAACCTGTGACTTGTTTGTTATTATTGACTGTTTGTTTGTGTTTTTATTCATAAGTTAGTAATTATTCCTGGCCTTTTCAGTGATGCAAATGAAACTAATGCCCGTTTTCACCATCAATCCCTAATTTTTATGTGACCCCTTTGAAAACAAAATTCTTGTTGTGTTACCATAGGGGTCACTTAAAAATTTCTTAACTAGATTGGTCAAAAAGAAAACTTTCAGTTCAATTTCGCGTGGAGATAATGCGCAATAAAAAATTTGAAAATGAATTTGATTTATTTGCAATCCTCGGATGAGATCGTTATCAAGCACGAATCCATTCCTTTTATTTAAAAAAACTTGTTTACAATTTTAATAGATTGATTAAAATACTGATGTCATTTACAAGTTATCTTTTCTGACTTTTCGTAAGATAATCGTGAACATTACACTGTCGTCTTTAATTCCTAAATCATCATTACATTCCGATGTCTGAAGATAAGTAGGTTATCCGAGACCCACCTGATTGAAGCATTTACAGCAAACGATAGCGTATCAATATCTTTGCTGCATAATCGTTTTCGCCATTTATCGCGTAATTTGACCCGCTGTAGGTCCCATGGCTACGTGACTGTCCTCACGTACAAGTTTTGGCTTTCAGCGTGGTCAAAGTTCAATTGTTTAAAGCTGAACGTCCACTTACTCGGACGCTAAAAAGTGAACGAATATTTAATTTGTGTGACGCTCAAGATGTTACCGGACGGAAAAATACACGCTTTTGTGTAAAATTTTCTGTTTATCTAAAACAGGAAAGGAAAACCTGCCTTTTCCAGGATAGACATAATGGATGCTGGTAATTTCAAAGATTTCATAGAATAGACTTACAAGTAAATAAACTCAAAATTGCCAATTATTTGCACAATGACTTCAATAACAAAGTAACTATCTATTTGGTAAAGAAATGAACTGACAACGCAACCGCAACATGACATTCCATTGAAATTCAAAAGATAGTGTGTTAAAAATTACTATTAAAACCATTAAAAAATATTTTAACTCTTATGACATAAAAAATAAACGCCCAAGGCTACCGATTCAATTATTTTACACCGCAAAATTGGATGGTTTATTAACCCAACAGAGTACCTATTTACTTTTTGCGTGATTGGAAGATTACTTTTGCCAGTGACGTAAGATTGGTGCCGATAGCATGCGTCGGCGCCGCCTCATTAGCATAACGTGACGCTGACAATAGAGGTGAATTCAGAGTTCAAGTTAAACAAGTAGGCACGTTAATTACAAAAACATCTTACAAACATTTTCCAGCCATGACTGAAATTACACAGAAAATTAAACAAATAAAAGTTTCTGTTGTAAAAAAAATTGTTAAGCGTAAAATGTCTCAGCAGTGGACAACAGGACTTATTAGAAAGATGCCATTTATAGATCAGAGTAGGCGCAATGGAATGTATTCATAACTCATATGTCATCAATAAATCATTCATCATCATTGGTTTACGGAGATAAAACAACCGTCGTGTTGAGCTCTATTATACAGGATGTTAGGTAAATGGGTATATGAGCCGACACTAGCCCATGTTAACATGGGTATATAAATGGTATGGTGAAGTCAGTGATATCAACATTTTAATTTTTTTAATTTTCATACAAAATAAATTTTTATAAAATCCGACATGACATTGACAGATATGTCAAAATCCACCAATCACGCAGCATTTGGACCTTGCGTCTACGTATTGCCATCTGGCGGATTTTTCAATTGCGAAAACCCTCATTGAAATCGCTTTTCATTTCTGTTTCACTTACTCGCTTTGGATGTTGGGGTGAGTGAGAGAAATAGGGAAACGTAAAGATGTCAAAGTAGAATAAATTAGGCAGAAATATTGGCGGTAGAACTGTTTTTTTCATGATAATAAATGGAAATAGAGCCTAAAATGTAACTGAACATTAGCAGGGTGTCCACATTCTGGAAAGTCAGGGAAAGTCAGGGAAAAGTCAGGGAAGCTCATAGCAGTCAGGGAAAGTCAGTGAAATAGAGGGGTCACCTGGAAAGTCAGGGAAACATTGAGATTTTGTCTACCAAAACACTGTTTGTCTCCCGAAATTTCCCAGTGATTGTAAAATAAGGGATTTAATTAATTTATGCTCTAGAAAGACCTTTGATCTTGACTATCGAAGCAATTTTTTTTCAGGTTTGGAGTGATCTACATTATGACTTTGTTTTTAGTCATAATTATATTACTCCTTTTTAGTTTTTTATCTAATGAAGTGGATTGATCTAAATTATGACACAATTTTGTTCATAATTAGATTACTTTCATATAGTTTTTTTTTTTCAGGATTAGAGTGATAGATTAATAGGTAGACTGTTATGATTTTTTTTTGTCATAACTAGATTACTCCTTTTTGTTTTAATAGTTGTACGTTTTTGTTTCAGTAAAATGATATATTTTCTATTGTCGATGTGAAAGTGCAACTTATAACTTATGTTTATTTATATATTTTTTATAATTATTTATTGATTTGATTATTGAGTGCAGACTAGTGAGCAGTTTTGCCGCAGTAGTGTTCATCCTTTTTTTTACAAAACGATGAGTCAAAGTGGTGTGAAAGTAAAAATCGTTCAAAATTTTAAGGAAATAAAATATTTTGATTAACTTTTGTGTAAAAACTGCAAGTATTCTGGGGGTTTTAAGAGTTGGGCTGAACAGCAGCACTACTTAAGTTGCCGATATAAACAGAAAACCAGGAATAATTGAAAAATTGTGGTCGTGGTAATGTAAAATATCATAAGGGGTGTCAATTTTCGTTGAATTTCATAATTTATTGTGTAAGTTAAAAAATAATTGAGATAGATTTTTTTCATTATTTTTCCTAAAGTAATCATGACTATGTCCATCCTGTGGCGTCGGCTTATCCATGAATTTTGGGACACGTTGTATACATAGTTGGTCAGGGAATTTTGAGAAAATTGTCAGGGAAAGTCAGGGAAAAGTCAGGGAATTTTTTCGAACATTTGCAGTGGACACCCTGATTAGTTATTACGAACACCCTTAATAATAACTATCGATCTATTTCTACGGCTAAACAAAACTGTCAAGATTTCCGAAAAAATACCTACGATAGAAACAAGGACTACGTTTTTTTCCATTTATTTTCGGAAATGTTAAGAAAAACATACAAAAAAAGGTCGACAACTTATTTTTTCATCTGACGGTCACGTTAAATGTTTGTTTTTCTATTGTCGTCTTTACACACGTTGAAGTTGTATATATTATGTATAAAATAAGACATTGTTAAAAGTCACGTGTATACTTTACAAGAAAGGTTAACCAAACTATGTATTGTCTTGTACATAAATGTAGGCACTTAGATAATTGGATTTTAAAGTATAGCTCATATAGGCACTAGCATTTATTCTGTGGTATAGGTGTAGGTACTTAACGGTACGTTTTACATAGTTTGATGTACCGACCTTCGTATACGTGTAGTCACGTAACAAGCCTTGCTTGAGAGCAGCGTTATCTACACTTCTACACTAATATTATAAAGAGGAAAACTTTGTTTGTTTGTTTGGTTGTAATGAATAGGCTCAAAAACTACTGGACCGTTTTTAAAAATTCTTTCACCATTCTAAAGCTTCATTATCCACGAGTAACATAGGCTAAATTTTATTTTGGAAAAAAATAGGGTTCCGCAAAATATGTAGATAATGTAGTCCACGCGCGAGAAGCCACGGGCGGAAAGCTAGTCGTAGATAAAATAAATTATTTATACCACGGAAATGATATAAAGTAGAGCAGATTGCAGGACGCCCGACGTCTTGTCAATGACCTCTATAAATAAAAGCATAAAAAATACCTACATGCCTTTCTGGATTGTTATTCTTTGACGTCACATTCGACGTGCAAGAATTGGGCGTTGTGCGTAGACGTTTTACTTTTTAGTCGTTTTGTAGAGTTTAATAAACCTTTCAAGTGCGAGTTGTAACGATACATTTTTTTATTTAAACATGTTTTAGTCTTTTCAGCGGGATATACTAAAAAATGTCTAGTATAATATACTAGTTCAAAAGATATTATCTCTCCAACAAACAGACAGCAAGTCTCAATATCAATGCCCTTTGGGTTATGGAACCCTAAAACTAATGATATAACGCTACTTTACTAATTAAATTTAATTACGTAGCTACGTAGGCAGTAGCCATTACGCT